GCACAAGCTGTAGAACGCCTTCCTCGCAAGACTAGCCCGGGGCCCGACGGAATTAGTGCCAAACTCCTAAAATTAACCTGCCACAGATCAGCGTATTTATTGTCGCTGATCTTTCAGCAGTCGCTTGACACGGGCTGTGTACCGGAAGACTGGAAATATGCCTTTGTTAAACCCATATACAAATCCGGCCAAAAGTCAAGTCCGAACAACTACCGTCCAATCTCTCTAACCTGTATATCTTGCAAGCTATTAGAACATATAATTTACTCGAAAATTATATCTCACTTGAACAGAAACAACATCCTCATCCCAAACCAACACGGCTTTCGGGAAAAGCGCTCTTGCAACACCCAACTATTCGAATTGTTGACAGACTTGCACAAATCTATGCATAGCTCTGCTCCTACAGATGCTATTTTTATAGACCTTTCAAAGGCTTTTGATCGCGTCCAACATAACCGATTAATAACTAAAGTCCGTAACCTCCAGCTTGATCAGAAAACAATCCAATGGATTCAAGAGTTCCTCTGTAACCGGTCGCAATCGGTCAAACTTAACCACATAATTTCCAGAAAGTGCATGGTAAAATGCGGTGTCCCCCAGGGCTCCGTGCTCGGACCGTTATTATTTTTGGTCTACATATTGACATTGGATCTAATATTGTTTCTTTTCTACGCCTATTCGCAGATGATTGCGTTATATATAAGGAGATTACCAAACCGAATGACAGTAGCATCCTACAGTCAGATTTGTTAAAACTCACAGAGTGGTGCAACTTGTGGCAGATGCACATCAACGCTGAAAAAACCAAACATATTAGATTTACTTCCGTAGCCAACCCCTCATCATCCGTCAGATACATAGTCAATAGCGCCGTAATTGAGACCGTTTCATCCACAAAATACCTCGGCATTTTCTTTAGTTCCGACCTAACCTGGAACAGTCACATTGAATACATCACCAGCAAATCATCAAAAAAACTCGGTCTTTTGAAACGCCGCCTCAGATGCGCAAACTTGAAAACTAAACTTCACACATATCAAGCTCTGATCAGGCCTTCACTAGAGTATGCGTCAACCATCTGGCATCCACACACGGCAATGTTATCCGATATGCTAGAATCAGTACAAAATAAAGCAGCTCGGTTTATCACCTCCTGTCATTCTCGCCACCAAAGCGTAACATGTCTTAAGCGTTCTCTGAACCTTCCATTGCTTGCCACGTGCAGAAAGTTGTCCCGCCTATGTTTTTTCCATAGTTTATATCATAGTGACTCGTCATTTTCCCGATCATTCATTCACCCGGCTCCCTACGTTTCTGATCGCGTTGGTCATGCACATAAGGTCAATCCAATATATTCACGCACTAAGAAATACCAATTTTCACCTCTGCTGTTATCCATTAACGAGTGGAACGCGCTGCCCTCAAACATCGTCGCTATTACAGAACCCTCCCTTTTCCAGTCTGCAGTACTAACTTACTTAGAAGTTGACAATAATTTGTAACCACCATTGACATTTAATGTGTAACGCATGCTTAGAGAATGTTTATTGCTATTTCTTGAAATGTGTTTCCTGATATGGTGAGCTGCTTACTGTGTTTTTTGCTTATTGTGTTATTAGTAATGTTTCTTGGGCTATCGGTCAGTTTGATTACTAGTATTACTCCCTGACATGTTGTTTTACTGATGCTATAGTAACCTCTTGTATGTATCCCCCCTTATGTAATGCCCTCTGGGCTATTAAGGTATTTAAATAAATAAATAAATAAATAAATATAGTAAGCTGCTATAACTACTCGAAAATAGAGGGGAAAACCTTATTTATCATTGAAACTTTCTCTTTGATCCATGGTCCATAGATTCCATGAAATCCGTGGTATTTGACCCATGGAATTTTTTTAGCAACGCACTACAAGTGATTCAACGACCTTTTTTTTTTCATTTTAGAGCGTTTCATGTTGACGAAGCATGGGATGAGGGGTGCTTCAGGGGTACATAGGTCCTGAAGACATTTGCATGTCCATGCAAAGGAGACGAACAACAAACGCGCTCCATTTATCGCGCCTCTATCGGCACCCAGAGACAGCGTCCCATCCGGGAGGCCTGCCTATCGTCAGCTTGTCAGCAAAGTATTGTCCAGCAACTGATTTCTTCGGTATTTTCGAGGGGTCATATTTGCTAATGAACGTTAGCGACAGACCCCCTTTCGAACAAAGGCCGCGGGTCACCATGGTCTCTATCTCAAAATAGCGCACTATATACGTGCCAGTTAAGCCTTGTCCCTAATCGTTGCTAGATATAGCACTCACGCTGCGAACGAACCTCAACAATGGTTATACGACGTAAGTCAGTGCGCGTGTATCAAGGACAGAGAGAGGTACTCGTTCAACTTTGCGCAGAGAGCACCGTAGTGGATACATCCAGTCGAATGGCACAAAAAAATCTCTATATATATGTTGCGAAGTACGGAGCTTATAACGTTCTTGTAGCACCCGGGCATGGTTGTCATGGCTACGTATAGTGCGCTACCTTGAAACGCGTTCAATTTTACTTTGTGACGGCAACCGCTCTTCACCATATATCTATAAAGTATTCATTGGTACGTCGGTGCTTATAATTCTGAAATGTATGATAATATTTTCACTTGTTCTCCTTCCTGTCATTCCTGGACGTACTGCACTGCTTCTCATCTTTTTGTTTTCTTTTTGACCATTCTATTGTTCATTTAGTCAATGATTTTTAGAGTTTTTCCTGATATTTTTTAAATGATCTAAGCCGTGCTAGTTTTGTACCTATAATTGTTTAATTTCGACTATTTGTAGTTTGTTAGGAGTTCTTTTTATTTTTTTAAATGTTCTGAGCCGTATTAGTATTGTACTTATAATGGTTTAATTTTGACTCTTGGTAGTTTATATTATTCTTTTTGCATAACATTCTTCCACGCTGTCGATATTGTTGCATTCAACATGCACATAAAACGCTCAATTTTTTCAAGTGGTCCCCCTTCAGCCAAATGATCTGGGACCTCTTTTTGTATATACACTATGCAAGCATGTATATTTCATTTGAAAGCAAATTAAGTGAAGCTGAAAAACTGAATACACTAACTGATGTTCTGAAGGAGTGCCGATGCGAGTTAAGCATTTTAAATCAAACCTGCAATCACTATGCATACGCAGTCGGCATCAAAGGTTTATGGGCCATTAGGCCCCAGAAAACGCTAAATTTACTCGCATTTTTTAAGGGTATCTGGTCAAACTGCGCAGTTTGACTAGATACATATACATGTATACATGTTTGGCGCTTCTTAGAACAGGTACAAAAATGAAATTTGAATCTGCTTGCTCGAACAGCAAGAATACTGCAGCTTTCCTTTACGTGTGGTGTCCCATAAACTTTCGACGCTCACTGTATGTACGTATACGCCTGTGCAATGACCCTACAAATAGAGGGAGAGCCCTTATGCGCGTAGCACTGATTCCGATCGTTATGTATGTATACTCGCAAGTCCAATCCTTGTCTGCAACGAGCTATACCTTTCTCTTACGCATATACAAAGCGATACCGTTTGCATAAGACGCATTCCTTGATCCAATTAAGTACCCGCATTGGCATCGTTGTAGAGATGCGACTCCGGCTTACGTGGTTTCGTTCAGAGGGCCACGAAAGAGCTGACAACAGAGTTTTGCCAGGGCCGAGGCTATACGACATCCTTGATTCTTCCCTTGTCCCTTAGAAGCCGTGTTATTTAACATCATACTCTAATTGAACTATATCGCTGCCACTAATTGTATATGTTTACTGTACCTTTTCTCTATGATTCAATTACTTCCGGTTGCATATCACCGTATGCATTTACTAAATTAGGCCTTCTCCTTTTCTTGAAATATTTGTGTATATTTAAGTATGCTGCTGCCATATGCATTTACCAGGCCAGTAGTCAGGAATATTTTTTTCGGGAATTGAGGACAAGGGCGGTGCACTTGCTTAAGACATTGACTATTTAAAAAAAAACACATTTTCATGACTTATTTTTGGTACCCCCCACCCATTAAATTTCAGGGGTGGGGGCTGAGGCACCCCGCCCCACTTCTGTGTGAAATCCACAAAGGTAGTATTATAATAAATAAATCAGAAGCTGCTGAAAATTATATGCTATACAGTGCTCTGAACTACATATATAATTGTGCATATACTTCATTTGCAAAACTTGCCTATAGACAGTGCCGAGTCATAAGCTAAAGCACAACGTATGTGTGCATTTCAGAATAACAGACGCAACCCAAAAATTCTTGATTCATAAATTCTTTACTACGGTTTTGATTTGCCTATTTATCGACATTCTTCAGTATCGATCGGCTACCCTTTATCAAAACTCTGCTCTCAAAATTAGGTTGAAAGTGGTATTGTCCTTACTCCTAAACGTAACATGTTTCATTCAACTCTCTGAATTCCTAGTTAAAGTAACTTGCAAGTGCACGTCCGTATAACAATAAACTCTCAGAAACTCTATAGCATATTACAAATAAAACTGATGATCTTAGGGAGCACTTGCAGGGAAAATATTGGTGATACTACTATATTACGTCCTGTAAATTATAACTGTGCACATACTTCAGGAGTGTGAATAATTTTATTGAAATAAGGGAGAATCACAAAGCGCTCAATAAATAGATATGTTATTGCTCTAGTGTTTTTTTAATGACTCCTATAGAACATAAATCAAGAACAGTCCTATCTCATGATCTTTCTTGCACTGCAGTATCGTGTGCGAGGTGTCAGAGGTGGCGGAAGGTTCCTACCATTTTGTTCGGTGAGTTTGTGCATCTATTACATATTAGCACACAAGGAGTGAAAAAAGGACCCCATTACATATTGCTGGAGGCGTCCCCACAATCTCCACACTTCTCTTTCGTAAAGTCACAGGCACTGTATCGTAATTCGCGCGCGAGTCATGTGTGTTAAGGATCAACCATCAATCCGCGTTCGCAGTACTCACCGGATGCAGCACCGACATCGACACCGTAGAACGCAAGGACGCAGCAGACGACGTGGGCCCAAAATAACGGTCCGCCGGATGGTGTCGTCTGCTTCGGCTCACGCCGGAGCGTCCGGCGCATCGCGAAAGCGGTGCGCCACAATGTAGCACACGCCAACTACACTGCTGGCCACTCACCAGTACAATTAACACAAAGGACACATATACACGCGCGCACTTGTACAGAATCGATAGAACTACGGCCACACTTCTCGTCGCGAAGGGACGCCCGCCGTCTCCGCTGCGCCGTAAACAGGTGGACGCCGCGACGTCGTCTCGAAGTTACAGCGTCGACCGTTCACGCTCATCTCTCCGAATCAACCCGAAAGGTGATATCGAATCGAGTCGAAACGACATCGGTCACCCAAGACGTGGACACTGGCCCCTTCTTCTTCCGTCGTTTCGCGGTCCTCCACATGAAATCGTAGACTGTTATGCGCGGGTGTGAGCTTCAGAGGTCGCCGCCGCGTACGACGCGCCAGCGGGCTCGGGCGTCTCGGAGGAGGAACAGACGCGCGTTGCCGCTCCGCTACTCCGGTCGGTGCCGACTGTTGGTTCACGTTTTTACTTTAGCGCCGCGCGTGGGCTCATCCGCTAAATCGGGTATCTCCAGCTGGCGAGGGAAGTTTTTCTCCCTCGCGTTCCCTCCCTCTTTCTCCTCGATTGTTTCTGCCTGTACTCTATCGTGGCGAGGGGAGTTGTGATGTTCCCTTTCCTGTGCACACCTCTCACAGTCTTTTCATTCATCCACTTGTTTTGTTGCGTCTGCTCTGCGTACGGCTTCTATCGTACCGTCGTTGCGTCCTCCATTTCACAGAGTTACCATCAGGTCACAGAGTTACTATCACCACACGTACAGCTGCCACCATAACACACTTGCTGTTATTACAGTTGTAATTTTTTTTTTTTGCCTCTACCAACTTCTCTCGTCTGTCAAATAGGGAGCCTGACTAACGTCGCGAACCGCATGACTAGAGGGGGATGACCGTGGCGTAGCCAGGGGGGAGGGAATGGCACATCGGGCCTGTGCCCCCCCCGCCATTTTTTTTCGCCTTAGCATACAGAGCGAAAAATGACAATTTCAAGAAGGTTCCCTCCCCCCAACCACCTACTTTTCACCCCACCACACACAAAAAAAAAAAAAAACGATTACGGCCCTGGAGGGTTGTCGCCAAGAAGGCTGATCCTGCGAAATAAGGGACGAGAGTGCACCCCCCCCCCCCCACATCCTCCCCCCGAGCCTGCCACTTCACACAATCATGCACACAACCTGAACAAAGGTGTCGATAAGCTACCTGTTAGAAAAACCGTCATTCCACCTCTCCTACCCCTTTTCCCACCCCCCACCCCGGATCGTAATGGTAATTCACAGTGTGGCAGCTTGGGATAGTCTGTATGACATGCCGATAGTTATATAGCGCGAGAACAGAACGACGACAAAGAGACAAGGACACAAAGGACGCTGGCGCTCGCGTCCTTCCTGTCCTTCTTGTCTCTTTGTTGTCGTTCTGTTCTCGTGCTATAACTACGGTAATTCGCAAGCGAAATTTTCCGTATCCTGCGAGCACCCAGGCGTCCGCCGTATTCAGCTGCGTCCGCTGCCTCCCTTCGCTCCGGTGGAATGTTTATTCTGGGCTGCCTGTGCTATCAACGGACTTCCGTGCACTTCGCGGCAGTTTCTGTATGGCGGGGATCTATTAACTGACACACAAATGCACGAGCTAGGGGATGCTTTACCATAAAAGTTGCAGCGATCGAAAGCAGGATGAAACAGCGATTAAAACGGTACGAAAACGGGAACGTACTATCAGGTCGCTTCTTCATATTTCGCAAGTATACGAAGCTGATTGATTGATTGATTGATTGGTGGGGTTTAACGTCCCAAAACCACTATTTGATTATGAGAGACGCCGTAGTGGAGGGCTCCGGAAATTTTTGACCACCTGGGGTTCTTTAACGTGCACCCAAATCGGAGTACAAGTATACGAAGCAATTACAGGAATGAAAAATAATATAACAGGTAAGCCTCATAATTATTACAATATTAACTTTTTTAGGTCGCGTTACAATATAGATACTTTAGTGTAGGATGTCCCCTGTTAATACAATGCTAGATAGCTAACGCCGAAAAGGTGGTATACCTACCTAAGGATGTGTCAGAAGTCGAAAAACAATATTATCGGTAAAATGTCTGCGTGTGACAAGAAGCGATTTAAGTGTGTGTGTGTGTGTGTGTGTGTTTGTCCGGAGTCCTCCACTACGGCGTCTCTCACAATCATATGGTGGCTTTTGGGACGTTAAACCCCGCATATCAATCAAATTATAACGCATGCATGACCAGCGCAGAATGCGATCGTATTTTTGTGCGCACGTTCATGAGACTGAGACACACAAATTAACACGATGCGTGTTACGCCGTTGTTGTCAATAATGTCGCATGTATTCGATTTGGACGCCAAATATAATCAACTGTGTGAATCAATCTACTCCTGCATTGGTCTATTATTAGATATAGAATCTATATCACCAGATGGGCGGATGATATCGCCCTATGCATCTAGTGCGATACAGTCCTCGTCTTACGTATACGTCCTGCCCTTGTGGGTTCGAATGGTTTCGGAGGCTGACGTCTGCGTCTCGGAAGAAAAAAAAAATCAGTGTACGAAATTTGGCTTGCTGCCCATTTCTTCATCTCGTTGCCGAAATCGTGTGACTACCCGTCTTGTGGCGGCCGGGCTTCCTAGAATCGAACTCACTACCTCCGGGTGAGACGAGCATGCAAACTAATGTTGTTTTTTCCAGGAACACGGGCATGCCGCAGACAGTGTATAAATACCGTTCCCCCTCTATGTACTTTAAAACAGACACCCAGACGACATTTGCTAAGGCAGAAGGGTGCTTTCACATCCCCTCAAAATTCCCAATTAACCACTTATGCATAATTACAAAAATGTACTTACACATGGTTCGAATCAGAAGCCGACATCACAGTGGCTGACCCTTTCAAACATATGCCTTCGCTCTAAATGCAGGCTTTCTAATAAAAAAAAAAGTACTCAGCGTGCATAAGATTACAACAGTACTTAAAGATCTAGCCGAATTTTTGGACTGTTAGCATTGTGTACAATATTTTATGGGTCTGAGTTGGTGTGAGCGATTTATAGTGAAATACAACAATGTCAACGTTGACGACGACGACGACGACGACGACGACAACAACAACAACAACAACAGCAACAACAACAACAACAACATAATAATAATAATAATAATAATAATAAATAATAATAATAATAATAATAATAATAATAATATAATAATAATAATAATACTAATAATAATAATAATAATAATAATATAATAATATCAGCTCCCCTAGTTTTCATCAAGAAGATGCAAAATAAACAAATTATTCATGCCTGATACTCCTTTCTACTCTAACTTTTTGCGATTTCCGCGCTTTGGTGGCTTTCTTCGAGCGTAATTCATCCGTGAGCATGCGGCACATGTGTAAGCAACTACAAGGACAAACAAACAACGACAACAGCAGCAGTAACAACAACAATCGTACATATACGTACGTAGTGCTTCTAATGATTTCTCTGTTTTTTGTATTATTTTATTCGTTCTAGTTTTCTCTAGCCTTTGTTTTCTTTTTCACTTCTAATATCATGTTGTTAAGACAGTCGGATCTAACGTATACCCTACCTTCCCCCTTCTTTTTTTTTTTTTGTTCATATAAACAAACACAAGAACAAAGCCTGTCCCGCGCGTTTGGGTTACTTGCTCTTCCAGTTGGCGGCTGTAATCACGTACTTCTTTCCACTGTCCGGGGCGCGCGTCTGCAGTGTTCGCGCCGTGGTTTTCAACACCGCGGCGTCTTAAAGAGGAGGCGGGAGAAAGACGCCGACCGGGTCACCACATGTTGCGCCTCGTGTGGGAAGCGGCAGCAGCTAGCCTCGGTGCGGACTGCGGGGGCGAGTATCGGATCCCGGCCAGGCAGCCAGCGCCCCCGCGCGTCGCGGTTTCTCGTGTGAAGACCGCATCTGCGCTATCAACTCCTCGCGCGCGACTGCAGCCGCGCTGTGTATTACGCGCGCCCACCAGCGCCACCCAAACTTCTTCCGAGAAAGACAACCAGTAGTATAGTGCGCGGCGACCCGATTGCGTGCTCCGGCCGACCTCCCCACCGTGTATAGAGCGGGGAAGCGCTGGTCATTTTAATTTGTACGGCGCGCGCTATAGCGAATGGCCTCTGAAGACACGGTGATTGCATGCGAGACCCTATACGTGGCGTGGGTGCATGGCGTGCGCGGCCCGAGATGGGGCAGTGGAACTTTGAGGAAAAATAGCCAGAGGCTGCGCAGCGCCAGGCGGGAATTTGGTTTGTTTCGTGGGCAGATGCGGACGTACGTACACGTTTACAGGGACTTCGCAGTGCTTGCGAATGACAAACACGTTGCGGAATCACTCATCTTTAAAGAGTCAAGTAACACTGTGCAAGGGCACAACCAGAACTTTTTTCCTAGGTGGTGGGGGTTCGTCTACCTTTTGCGCATGCTCGTGCCTCTATGTGAGCCTGTGTATACCAGTAGGGTTTCATTGTTCGTGTGTGCGTTTGCATGGAAAATTGAAATATCACAAGAAGTTTGAATCTCCCTTCTTCCCACCACCTAGCTACGCCACTGTTGTGTACACACACAAAAATAGAAAACTTCGGGGGTTGACTCTCCTTCCTTCTTCGCCATTCCATCGGCTACGCTAATGAATGTCAGCAATTCTCCGCCACGCGGAGCAGTGGTCATGGTGCTCCTGCTGACCCAAAGGTCGCGGGTTCGATACCGGTCGCATTTCGATGGATGCGAAATGGCAGAGGTCCGTGTACTGTGCGCTGTCAGTGCACGTTAAAGAACATCAGGTGGTCGAAATCGCCGGAGCCCTCCACTACGGCATCTCTGATAACCATATATCGGTATTTTGGAACGCAAAGGGCGAATTATTATTATTATTATTATTATTATTATTATTATTATTATTATTATTATTATTATTATTATTATTATTTTATTATATTATATTATTATTATTATTACTACTACTACTACTACTGATAGGTCAGAAACAGAAAGATTGGCAGGAAGGGTGGCCTGACTTTATGTCACTCTCACTTTCCCAGTCACACTGCGTGCTTGATCTCACTCGTTTTTTTTTTTTTTCAAACGTTCATCCCGATTGCTGGTATTGCACCACGAATATTGCAGCAAACGGCCCACTAAGCCACGTTCAAGAGTTGCAAAATTAAGGGTGGACACACGAAAGGGGGGCACACGGGAAGGGGAAGCGTGGAGTAGGTGCTATAGCGGCTTTGTCAACACCTCATCACTCACTATAGCTTCAGTTAAGTCCCAGTGCAGGTTGGTCACTCAGTCAATCACTACAGGCCAGCATGGTCACGCAGCTTAATGTCAACTAGAGGCAATGCAGTTTGCATCGTCTCGTCAGTTAAGGTAAGCAGAAAGAGAGAGAGAGAGAGAGATGAAATGAAAACGCTCGGAGGTTTACCTGGTAAACGTAACCGGTTTGATACCCTGCATAGGGGTTGGGGGGGAAGAGGGGTTGCACTGAAGACAGAGATAGGTAGATAAATAAAAGAGGGAAAAAAGATGCATATACATACATGGACACACACGCTGGACATTCAGATCAACGTATACATCTGGGGGCATAGTTTCTTGCGGAAACAGGGGGCGCGCCGCTCGCCGAGCTCCAACTAAAGGCTGAAGTGGACACCACGAGAATAGCTTCCCTGATCACGGATCCGATCGCGGAACCATTCTATTCCTTTCTTTACGCTTTTCGCCACCATTAGCCGTCGCTTCCACCAATTGCAGACGGCTATAATGGCGGCGAAAAGCACAGAAAAAGGAATAGAATAGTTCCGCGATTATCTTGAATTCTAACGTGTTTTTTTTTATAAATATATTCCCTTAGTACATTACTTATCGAATATTTCTTGTAGTAAAGATTGCCGTGGACTACGTTCAGAAGCTTGAATGTAACTGCAAAACGCATCAAAAACAGCAGCAGCAGCTATGGTCGAAACCTGAACCTCATTTATTAGTTTGTTGGGATTTTAGTATGCTTCACGAACCTCGTAAATATTGACGATGACACAGAAATAAGCGCGCAACGCGCTACGATGTATTCATGGTGTGATCTTCATTTTCTTACATGTTCCCGTTTGAGCGCTTCGAGATTTTGCGAAGATGCGTCAGCGAACCAGCCATTTCTCGCGTTTAAACTTAGCCGCGTTAAAACTTTGCAGTTGTGATAATTAGAACCCTTATTTTCACGGTTAACGTGAAGTAACAAAATATACAGTTACACGTTTTTATTGTAAAAAAACTGCATAATAAACTTGTTTATTTATCATAAAAAAGTGAAGTACCTTTGAAATTTACTTGATTTAAAAAAGTTTGTTTTTATTTTATGGCTATAGCAGTGCTGCGAATAAATGGCCTTTGAGAACTTAAACAACAAGGTAGTACAATTGCAGATCTTTGAAATTCAAATTGACATTCAACGCTGCTCAAATAAATCACAATTCCCAAGTATTTGTTTTTTAAATAAGTTAAACAATAGTAAGGTATTTGTGTTAACAAAAAAAATTTGTTGAATTTATTGTTCTCTTTTCACCATAAAGTTTTGTACAATAATACGTTTTTTTGCGATGTTCAGTCAGTTCTGCCAGGTTTAGACACAAAAGTGTTTTCAGTTGGCAACAGTGTACAGTGGTTTTCTTGTTCAAGCGTTAGTAAAACGTTTTCTCGCGTGCAGTTCAGCAGCCCAGGAATTCTCAGCTACAGCTAAGCCAAACCGGGTACGCTGCGCTTAGAAAGTCACGTTAAGCAGTATAGTAAGAACGCCAAGCCACAATAATGTCCGCCGCGGACGCGTTTCTTTTTCCTCCAGCTCTCCTGGCCGAGTTGGAAATGGACGCCGGACCCATTCTTCGAGACATCATGATGGGCCACTTCTTGGACGGAGGAGCTGACGGTGGCGATAGCATCTTCTCCGACATCGAAGTCTGCGAACTGTCGCCGCCGACCACCGAAGAAGAACGGGGCGGTGCTCAGTACGAGTCGGCCGGACTGACCCCGACATCGCCTACCCGTTCGTCCAAGTCCCGGCGCCAGTCTAGGCCTAACTACGCCGCGCTCGCCGGTAAGTCGCGTTCCCGCGCCAAGAGCGAGGCGCTTTGCAGCTTTGACGAAGTTCGCGTAGACGAGTGCGAAGAGGAATCCGTTTCACCGGGTTACTTAGAAGACGAGGAAGAGGATTACTCGGACGCGATGAAGACCCGCGGCAGTTGCATGAGCAAGAACGCCATTGCCGCTAGAGAGAACAGGATAAGGAAAAAGTTGTACGTGAGCAAACTCGAGCGAAGCGTTCGCCATCTTTCAACCGAGAACGCTACCATGAAGAGGCGAGCGCAAGAGATGAGACGCGAGATTGAAGAGCTTAGCGAAGAGGTGCAGTACTTGAGAAGCGTGCTGTGCAATGCCGACGAGATAAAGACCTTGGTGCGCAGCATTCGGGCGGTTAGGCCTAGCCTGGCGACCAGTACCAAGAGTGCTGGCGACACGCTGAAGCGCGAGAGGGTGGAGGAAGACCACGATTACGTCGCTGCAGGCGGCAAGAGGAGGCCGCCCGTCGACAAGAAGGCGGGTGGTGTGTGTATCCACGTAGCCAACGGCACCGTGTCGTTGGAATTCTGTCATCGATGTGCCGCTAAGTCCGAGGATGCTTGGCAAGATGGACAGTGAGTGCACCAAGCAAGCGGGGGGGTGACAAGAATCGCGCCTGGGAGAGGCCGCCTTTTTTTTTTTCGATTCCATGGTGTGAACCTTCTGGACAGACGCGACATACGATGGTCGGTACAGCGTGTCCTTATTTACCAGCTGTTATCTGTTTAAGGACTTCGAATGTGAACTGTGTGTGTGTGCCGCTTCCAGATTGAACTGAGGACAGACACCTCTCTTTTTTGCTTTTCACGGTTTTTCTCGTTTCAGGTGATCGTCTCTGGACGGTAGAGGCCTGCGAGTCTGGTACCGGCCGTCCACGCTCTGCACAGAGACGAGGATCTTGGTCTCACAATCCTTGCACACCATCTACGATGGTTGGTATCTGTTAACCACCCCAAAAACTGCACAGACACAAACAGTTAGCGACGCCGTAGGCTCCGTTTAGACTTGCCTTTGTTACTCATAGGTGCCTTACCAGCTTAGACACTTATCTCGACAGTTTGATTGTTTGTGAGAATTGTGTGAGCATTTTTAGACAGAGCAACACAAACACACTTGTCGCGCTGGCCTCAAGAACCAGTTATTGGAGAAGCTTTTTGCTTTATAGCTTCCACTGCTGACTGGGTGCTGCCTCAAGGATCACCACGCATGGGTCAAGATGGTATGTGGTAGGTCTCCGGTAAAACCTCGGTGATTTTTTTTTTCCCCTTGTATAATATTTCTCGATCAGATTTTATTTGTTTGTTCAGGATTGTTGCTGGTTAGTAGAGCCAAGCACGCTTACTTTTGTTGACTGTTGAAAGATACGCTGTCGTAAACATTTCTTGTGTATTTAAAATGGCTGTAAATATGTTTTGAATGAGACACTGATGTACCTGTGTGTGAGTATTGTAAATATTGAAGGTGTGATCAATTTGAGCCACTTGAAATAAATGTGTTATGCCACTAAAACAGTGTTTGGGTACTTTATTATGTCTGCGTTTCAGTGTGCTTCTGTAGTTATGTACAACTTCAAAAGGCAGCGTGACAGCCGATTGCTTCTGCAACTAAAGAAATGATCCTGCTCATGTGCTGTGTGGGATCTCCTATTCAGCATCTCATTTAGCATAGCCTTGGTGTACAAACTTACATTGAAGTGGGGGGGGGGGAAGAGGTAACAGAAATTTTGTTACAGACACAGTATCAACTAATACAGAATAATTCAATAACAGTCACTGGCTATTGGTTCCGGCTTGTCTGCATTTGCACTTTTGAAGTGGAAATGGTGCTGCCTTCTAAAGTAGTTCCTGGCTATAGAAGCATGTGGTGTTTTGTAATGTGCATGTTTCTCTGTTGCAGGAGGTTAATGCAAGTCCTCCCAAAGCATAAGGCTGTACGTGGGCTCTTCAGACGTATTTGATTTGGTGTTGTATGCTTTGAGTGAGAGTGTTGCATGCTTACATACCGGTGCTTGTTCAATTATACAAAAGAAATGTGTCAATACTTTAAGTACACTACTGGATTTATTGCTTTTATGCCTATAGTAGGTGGAATGTAATAATGGAAAGCCAGCAGCATGTACATTCCAAATTATAGCCCTATTTAAGATCTTATGTATTTCATTTCAGCCACGGGTTAATGGGTGGAATCAAAGTGGCATTCCAATTTTGCGCGGAATGATGTGCGGTCAGGTGTGGCAACAATGGTGTCGGGAAGGCGATTCCAAAGTGTTATTGCTTGGGGGAAAAAGGAGTTGTTCATTGCGGATGTACGGCCGTTGATTCGTGCAATGGGGTTTGAATGGTTAATGCGGGAAGAAGTTCTGTTTGGGGGCTGTAAAAGTTCGTGTCTTGATTGGGGTCGGAAAAAGAAACTGTGGAGGAGGCATAGGCGCGAGATGAGGCGGCGCGACGCGAGTGATGGCAGTTGAATTGATTGTTTTAGGGCGGTGACGCTGATTTCTCTGGAGTACTGTGAGGTTATAAAGCGGGCAGCGCGATTTTGAACTGCTTCTAGTTCGCTAACGAGGTATGCCTGGGATGGATTTTAAATGGACGATGCGTATTCGAGCTTTGGCCGTACGTATGTTAAGTATGCTAGTTTTTTAACGTCAGGAGATGCTGATTTGAGGTTACGGCGCAGAAAACCAAGCGTACGCAGAGCGTCTGAGCAGATGGACTGTACGTGTGGTGCAAATGAAAGAGATGGGTACATGTGCACTCCGAGATACATGTATGACGAAGCCGAATCGAGAGGAAGCGAATTGATAAAGTAGGTATGATGAACAGTAGTGCGTTTACGGGAAAATGACATCGATTTGCATTTGGTTAGATTTAACGGCATTGATGAGTCTAGGCACCATAGTGCAACTGTGTCGAGGTCTTGCTGTAGTTTAGTACTGTTTTCAAAGTTGTGAATGGGGGAGTATATGACACAGTCATCTGCAAATAGTCGAAGTTTTGTTTGAATGTTTGTTGGCAGGTCGTTTATGAATATTAAAAATAGAAGAGGTGATAAGCCCGCACCCTGAGGGACGCCTGATGATACGTGAGTTTTAGAGGAGTTATGATTATTAGCAGAGGTGAATTGTTTACGGTTGGAGAGGAAGTGTTTAACCCAGAAGACAATATTCTGTGCAATGCCAAGGGAATTAATTTTGCTGAGTAATAAGTTGCTAAGTAATAAGTTCGTGATATTAATTTCTGTGTAATTGCTCATTAGCATATCTGCACATATTTTTTATGTTTCTGTAAAGCTCAAGTAATCGAGCTTTATGAAAACAAGTCTTTACAGAAGTAGTTGCAGTTGGAGAAGCAGCTAGCCCTTTTGAAGTGTTTGAAAGCACACTAGAGCGGTGCTTGCAATGAGCTAGTTCACTCGAAGAAAGCATTTGATGAAGTTGGCAAAAGCAGATATTATCGGTGTTGCACGTTAATTGGGCAATGCGACAAGGCAAGCTGGCGAGGCATGTGCCATGTAAATGGTGAGGGCGAAAAATGTATACGGGCCGAGTCACCTCTTCCCCGACATGAAAGTTTTTAAATATTGAAGTACTATTGTGTGTATGGTAGCGGTAAAAAAAAAAAAGCTGCATTGAATTCTGAGATCATAAGAGTTCCCAGGATTTACGCACTGCTAGGTCAGGTTTCCACCAATGTGGCCGTAATGAACCTTGGGAGGAGGAGGGGGGGGGGGGAGGGCAAGCTTCAATGCTGCTGCTGCATACTTGCTTTTGCAGAATACAGCAAAAAGATGGACCATCACATTATGGGCCAAGTACACAAAAACTCGATATATTAATACTGAATATAACATAATAGTGGTTTAATGACGGAAACAAAAATAGCCGTGCTGTAAATATAGTGCTGGGAATAGTACTTTTATAACGAATTTCCTGATATAACAGAGCTTATATTAGTGTAAAATTCAACTTTAATCTTGCGAGTTCTAAGTGCAGTATAGTGGGCTTGACAAGAATAGTAATTCGGACTAGCTCGTCTGGGATGGTCAGAACTGCTCACAACAAATGGGCAAATGCATTACAAGGGACGAACCAGTCCTCGAGTATCATGCTCACCTGTTGTTAGCACTGTTGTGACCATTTATGGTGGATTATGAATTCTTTATGCTTTCAGTTATCACTCCTGACATTTCCAAGGTTATGTGAGAACGGTGTGGCAGGATTGCTGTTGTGCATTCGCTCATAGTCTTGGTGACTCATGTTTTTACTGCCAGACAGGAGTTCACTTAAAAACCTCTCCTTTCAGATGGTTTAAGTGACCAATTGAAAATTCGTTCCGTGGGCTCTTTCAATGGAGTGCTAGTATATGGTAAAAAAGTGCTCTCAATCTGTCGGGGAAAACTGGAGAGCCTTGGAATGTCTGAAGTTCTGTACCATAATACTTATTTTTGTATGAAAGTATTGGTACTGGGAATGTGCTCAGCGAAAGCTGATTAATTCGGGAAATCTGACAATATGAACATGTTCCCTGCTTGCGGCCAGCATATACATTGTTGAATCGTGTCAAACCCTCGCTGATTGGGTCACATTAACCAGAACCTCAGTTAAGTGACACTAAAGGCAAATAACATTTTTATAAGTTCAAGCTCAATGTATGACGTTAAGAAGACAATATTATCAACAGCAGTGCCCTACTTGCCAAAAAATTAAGCTAAATGCACCACACGACGGGCTCCCCACGAGTGGGATAGTTTGGAAATGATTTCGATGATGTCGAAGCATCAATTACAATCACTTGTAGTCAAACTAGTTGCAATAAATAACCTTCAGTGCATCGAGACATTATAAAATGCTGCTTGCCCATTTATGTATGTTCAACTTTGTAAAAAAAGAAGTGACTGGCGTTACTATGGAGAGTGGTTCAAAAATTGCGTTTTTCGCCTTGTTAGGCTGGCTAGGTGGTGTCTAGCAGAGCTTAGTTGAACCAAGCAAGCAGAACCATGGCCTCTTTGATGGCAGAAAATTGTTCAATGACCGTTGTTGCTTCTGTGGCTCCCACTATCGCTCTGCTGTTACAAGTGTTGGCGGCGGCGCAGTAAAGCCGGGCAACGCGTCACAACAGTGACGCGAGACGGCTGCTTTGAGGCAGAGCATTCGAAGGGCATTAACGCAATGCAGACCATTGAAATGGGAATTTTTTCAAAATAAGCCCTTCCTTCGCACGAAAGTAGCACTACGAGGTTTCTGAACCGCGATTTCAGCAATCAACATAGGCCTAATGTTTGCCTTTAGTGTCCCTTTACCTAGGACGATCCTTGGAAAGTGGGAAGAGTTGCAAAAATGCGATGCAAAAGAGTGAAAACGTTGTTAATGGACTACCAAAATAAGGTGGCATTGTTTCCATCGCAATCTTCTTGGTTTATAGCTACCCTTTTTTCAGCACGCAGATCTGGCATTCAGCAGCTTCGCTTCAACTTTTTATGGTGGCATAAAAATTATTACATGATGATGGACTAACAAGTAGCCCGCCATATTAGCTGCGAAAAAACTTGTCACAATTTGTAGTGGTGAAGGCGGTATGTGAAAGGGAGTGCTGAGCATGTGGGCTAAGAGTGGATGTCTGACACTGTGGTTGCATTGAGAATGTAGTCTCATGATAGTGAAAATTGTAGCTTTTACACTTCTTTTTATGCAAAAATAAGTATATTGGTTTTACATGTTTAAGAACATGAAAAGTGGATTTATGTGTGGCCTTGTTCTCTTCTGCCGGCGTTTACATCCTGATCTCCTTTTATTATTACAAACTTGGTGGTCGTTAGAAGGAACAATGAGATGCATATAAGAACTGTTAGCTTTTTTTTATTGTAAATGTTCATGTTATCAGCAACATTTCACATTTTGGAATTTCCCGGGTGAAAAGGAAAACTACTTCCTGCCTTCTGCAACGATAGTCTTTTACTTCTGCACCAATTTCATGTTTTATGTGGATGCAGTCGTTTAAATTTGTGGAAAAGGTTAGTACGCTGTTCAATACTTTTCGTTTTCAAGTCCAACCTCACAGCTATTCTTTTTCTGTGAGTTTTCAGCATGCGCTGTTCACAAGAACTACAATGTGAGAGACTCAAATTGGCACAAGTTAACAGGACAAAGTGTTCAGTCTTCAGCTTCTGGCTGTTTGTCCATCTGCTTCGTTGCAATTTATTCAAGCGGCGTATATTCAAAACTTCAACATCAACCAACTAGTCCCAGTCATTGTCTTGTTGAACCTGGGAGGTACCACGCAGTTCAGGGTCTGCGCTCTGTCCATGTGATCACTGCAGCCACCACAGATTGAACTTGGAGTTGTGACCGTGTTGGCGCGAATCCCTCATTAAGTGCGCAAATGGCTGAATGAGGAGAATGGACATCACTCAATTGTGAACCACGATGGCCTGGAGCATCTGCCATATTGGAAGCAAGTATAAAGTATGTATGCCATATGCAGTTGTGTATTTTTAAAATAAAGTGGTTCATCTACCTACTGCAACATGAAACTTGTCTGGAAGTCATTTTTTCGTGTAGTCTCGAAAAGGCGGGGATGCGCGTATTGTCTGATGGCAAGGAATGGGTCAGGGAAGCAAGTAATGCAAGGGTGGAGAAAGGATAGAGCGGCAGAAATCTAGGCATGAGGTGGACCTCCCGCGGCCCTTGTGAGCATATGCGTGCGTATTGGAGTACCGCCCCCCTTCCCGTCCCCCGAGTCGCCTAAGAGAAGTCGGCCTGTAATAATGTCATAGTAGTATAATGGTAGAGAACAAGTGCGCTGCGGTAAACCCCCCTCACCCAACGGGGTTCCTGCGCACGCCATACTTCTGAAATATTCTATTGTGAGGGCCCTCCTGGCACGTCCTGGCAATAGAGTTTCCTAAAATTGGGAACATGTGTTCCTGGCGCTGTCGTTTCTGTTGAATCAAGCGATGAAGGTAACTAAACTTGTGGCTGAACGGCGGTCTTTCTCCTGGTCTTATCCAGAAACAAGAATGAGGGAAAGTAATGGCACAGAATAAAAAAAAAAACAATTTGGTAATAGTGCAACTGTCGCTGCTTTATCATAACTTATTTTGAACGAATGTGTGCTCCCGATGCGGGAGTGATATGCAGATTCACTACAACCGATATGCGCTCGGCAAAATTTTTCTGACGGGAAGTGTGTAGAAACAACTTTTGTCTTTGCATTGCAATGAGCTCCTCTTGCGCAGGTGTGGACCAAGGAGGATACATAAAAGTTTTATGTATCCTCCTTGGTGTGGACCAAGGAGGATATAAGGTGTGGACCAGAAAGCTTCACCGCTTCACTTTCGAAACAACTTTTGTAAAAACTTGGTAAACAACAGCTCTAGCAGCCATCAACTAACGTAATGATCCAAAACAATCCAATCCAGCCGTTCACGCCCATTGAGCTTTGCAGCAAATGCTATCCTTGAAGTCCCCGAAAAAGTCATTATTTGGACGTATTTTTGTGTTTGTCATGGTATAAGGCTTCAGACAACGACATGGCAAGGCGCTCTGGAGCTAGCAAAGGCCGCTCCGGCGGGCCTAAAGAATCTCTGGCTCAGGTGAGTGGCCCAGTATGCGCGCTTTTTCCGTCGGGATTGCGAAGACCGTGATTACTTCCTATCTGACCATTAAACGTCGGCACTTCAGCGCAGGAATGCGCGGTGTAGGTCTCTACGTTACGTATGTACTATGTAAACATAACACGGGCCGGATGTTACGGCGATAAGGACTCCGTGATCTTTTAAGAAACTGCTCTACTCTCCTGTCCTGTTGGCCTCCAGTGTTGCAAAACGCTGTGTCCCCTTCATTTCCTAACTCAGGGAAACTACAGCGTCAGCTGACATTATGGAGTGACAGTTGTTCAAACTGTTCGGCTCTCATGTGCGCGGTAGCCGTCTGCAGTTTACGATAAACATTCAAGACAGCTGGTTTCGTAGACATTCTAGTCGTCAAAATAGCTGCCTGATATTCCACTTCAGTGTCGTGGATTTGTTAGAGTTCGTCTATTTGTGCACTCAGAACGATAAGAACTACAAGAGCCGCATATGGAAATATATAGTAGTACTGTATATGCAACCGCAAATAGCTAGTTTATTCGGTACACTGAACCCACTAAGCTTCAGCAGAGGTTCTAGTTGTGGAGAAAAAAAAAGGAAAAGAAAAAAGTGTCTAGCCCGTTGCTTACATTTTGCAACATGTTACATCCGCAGCAGTGTTTGTTGTTTCGGACTCTCATCAGCTGCGTATTTCTCATTTTTACTTTTCTCAATTTCCATCTCCGGCTGTGTTTGTCACTTTTGTGAACAGTATCGGAAGTCGTAATCGACCGATCGCAAAAGACGTTCTTCAGTGTTATTGCGTGCTACTAGCTTCAATAGTTGAGCGCACGCGTGAGGCATATCAAGCGCAAGGAAAACTTTTACTAAATACTTTTACGTGCAACAAAATAAGGGCCAGAACATTTTTATTAATGTGAGCATATTAATGTTAATATGCACACTACTTTCTGTTCTTTTCAATGTAGCGCAAAAGCAACTAGTTCGATGAAGCGTGCAAATATGGGAAAGTTGGTAGGGCATATCTGAATATAGAATAACGCAACCTAGAAGTAGTTACAGCTTAACTGCAAAAGCAATTTTCTGTCCTTGTTTATTGCTTCTGTAGTTGCACTGTAATTACTTCTGGATTGCAGCTCTTCGTATATTCAACTATGTAAGGCATAAATGTTGTATGCAAACTTTGCTGCATGCGCAAGGAGCTCAATTGTAGGCTAAATGTCTTGGATTACGGGGTGGGCAGTGAATGCTGATGTAGGCTGAATGTGGTGTGTGCTGGTGGCATGGACAGGAAAGTTTCGTCGTCGTTGCCGTAACCTTCTTAACCAAAGGGCAGGAACTTTATACCTATAACTATAGCACCGTTGTCCTCAAGCACAAGGGTTCAAAAACTACCCACGAAAGCTTTGACTAGGTTTACTGGAGAAATGCAAATACTTGATTCGTTTGAAAAAGGCACAGCCTTGGTGTCGGGAACTGCAGGGTATAGTTTTCTATGCCAGAAGGGCAGGGACAAAAGCACTTGTAGTAACTGTTACTGATTTTTTTGTTCTCGCATATAATGCACTCCTTTCTTGGCAGTTGGGGCTCTTTGACATGCCTGATCTGGATGCCATCGGCAATGACAATGATGATAGCGAGGACGATGCGGACGATGGAGATCTGGAGGCCGAGTTGTCGGCACTGCTTTCTGGCCGTGCCCAAGCCAAGCCGAAGAAACCGAAGCCAAAGCCAGGTTTGTGCTTTAATGATCTTGGTTCTACCAGTGTGCCATTGTCAAGCTTTGTGAGCACAAACAGAGCATGCATGAAAGTTTCTAAATATGCGGATAAAAAGTGTGAGGGAAATATTACAAGGTCTTGCATACCTTTGGCTCATAAGAAAATTATTGTCTCACAGGGGGGAGGCACTTGTATTTTAAACACCATAAGGTATCCTTTCTATAAATGCCTTGTAAGAGAATTGTTTCAATGTATTGTTTTTGTATACAATGCTTGCCCTTGAAGACATGATTGATGGTACAAAGATTGTGAGGTATATATATGAATGTGTTTCATATTTGTGTTTTGATCCAGTGCTCATAAGTGTGCAAATTATTTAAGTTACGTGATTGAGTTTTCTACTGTCATTTTTCTGAGTGACTTTTCGTTTTGTAGATCGGCTAGGGAAGCTGGTTGAAGTATCGTTCATTTGTGAACTTCATTAAATCCTCTGCTTTTTTGTGTGTGTTTGAATTCCAAGGTGTTCAGTTCAGAGCTATTATGAAGAGAATTTGGCACAATTTCTGCGCTGTAAAAAAGGGTGTTTGTGTTTTGGTATTTTTAATGGCATCCTTAGTTTTGACCTTTTTTTCTTCTTTTTAAATGTTCTTTTTCAGCCAGCAGATCTAGCATCCATTCAAATGATGGCTGCGGCTGCACTGAAAGAGGACAACTCAGCGGATGAAAGTGACGATGCCAATCTGTCGGATGACCCAGATTAGTGGTATGCAAGTATATTCTTTATTTGCATTGTACTTTTTGTGCTACTTGGATCAGCTAGAAATACATGATAATTATGTTGTTCACACTTAACTACATACGGTTTGCCAGCATGTGGTAGTGAAAGACAGAGTATTCTGTGTACATATTGAAGTGTTTGAACGAAACACTACAGATCTTGTTTAACTCTTCTAATAAATCGGAGCTCCTGCAGTAGCTATAAGGCTGCCCCTGTTATGAAAGTAGGTCCTGGTAACATGCATCACAGAAAATGGTGGCACTGTTACGCTGAAGTTTCCGCACCAGCTTCCTGTGAGGTCCGGGATTTTTAGAGTCTATTAGAGTCTGTTGGTTGTTTATCGGTAGTGAAGTGCTGTGTAGTATTTCAGAGAAACCGAACACTAAGCACTGCAAGTTTCAAAAACATCTCGCGCGTCAAGGCAGAGAAAGTAGAGGCACATATTTCGAAGTTCGTGAAGTTGTTCTGACGTACTGGCGGGTAAGACATGGGTGTAAACTTCAATAATGGGATGCTTGAACCGCTTCATGTGGTGGTAACCAATTGTTTTTGTCAAAGTAATGCGAGTGACATTTTTAAGTCAGCTATTTCCTGTCCAAACTTTCTTGTTCCTTAGTACCTTTAGTTCCAACTTTCTTTATGCCACGTTTCCGAGTTCTTTTGGCATGAAGACTTGGAGCCTGTAATAACTTCACATTTAAGGCTAGCTGAACCCTGTTTTGTCTTCATTCAAGGCTGAGCTTGGCGCTCTTCACCCGCAAGAAGAAGAGCCTGCACCGGAACCGCCGCCAAGGGTTGCATCTAAACCACCAGGGGCCGTTCAGGTGCTTCCAACAAGGTACACAATTTTTCACGCTTTGCATGCATATCATTTTTGGAAGCTTTAACAGTAGCACATAGGTTCTTAAAATGCAAACTCAGGTAAGTCTGTTAACCAGTAGGAACTAAGTGAAAGCAGTGAGATCTCATTTGCCAGCTGTCCCTTACGCTTTTGTGTATTTCGAACTTTATGTCAATGCAAGAAGAGATAAAGAGGCGTGAATTAAAGGCTGATGTATAAGATAGTTTGCTTAGGTTGCCTTGAATATCTGCGGGAGGTTACACATTATTTCATAATACAGTAGAATCTTAATGATACGAATTCAAAGGAGCACGCAAACTATTCGTATCATCCCAAATTCATTTGAACTAATAACAAGTTAATGCTGATCATGAAGATGAAGCTTATTGGGATGAAATACTTCTTGCTTAAAAAAAAAGTCTGAATTTTCTCGCTTTCATGCTTCTCAATGAAGGCCTGCGAAACCACGTTCATGCCCATCGAAAATGTTCACATTCGTTCTGCCCCTCGTACACATGCCAGTGCCGCCGCCTTCGCCGCTTGAGAATTCGTTAAATTTTGCTCGTTTCCTGAGCATTAAAATTTGTACCGAGTTCTAGTTATGCATGCAAAGCACTGAAAAGAAACGGTTTACAGCTGTACACACGTTGTTTCGGGAGATTTGCCAGCAGGAGCGACACGAGCTGACGCAGCGGCGTTATTGCGGCAGTGACGGACTCAGCCAGCAGTCTAAAAGGGAGACATGTTAGGGCATGCTGACTCGCTGTTGCTGCACCTTCTACTTCTCGTGTTCGCAGTGACCGTAATCCAAACCAGGTTCTCAATGAATGCGTCCTTGTCTAGGCGTAGAGGTTTGTCGTGCTGCAGCGGGTAGCTCATGATAGCGCCATCGCGAGCCACCGCTGACACCTTTGCAGCTGTATTGAATTTGCGGCTAGTTGTTTACATCACGTGGTTTGAGAGCTAGTGCAGCCAATGTAGCCGAAGTCGTGAAGCAAAACGCGATCTGCTATCTCGTTGCGGAAAAATCGGTTTTGGACCGATTTTCTCGCGTCAGCCTCGCAGCGTGGTTTTCCGGCCACATATGGGATGAAGCGTGGGAAATCTTGTGAGTTCTGCTGCGTTCACTCCCTTCGAGGTCAAGTGTGAATGGGCTTTCCTCCCATATAGCAAGTTGCATTGCCCCATTCGCATGCAGCAGTCGATCCTTCATTTGTATCATCTGTGGTGGCTGGAGAAACCGTTCGTATAACACAGAATCACGACATATTTCATATAATGCAGTCCATCCAAACCAACCTTAAAATTCGTATCATCGGGAAATTCTCGTCAACCATAATGTATCGTCGAGATTCTACTGTACGCGAGCAGGCCTGGCAGTTCCACCTGTGCCTTATTTTAGGGTAAAAATATGCCTTGCCAGTACAGTTGTAACTGCTGTATGTAAGCCAGGTTATATTTACCTCTTGCTTCTCTGATAATAATCGCAAAAAGAAAACCATTTACTTTAGCTGAACTAAAGTAAGCTTAAAAAGGGGAAAAAAAATATCTCACAGTTGCACATCTTTGTTGCACATCAAGTTCTGCGTTTGTCGACAAAAAAGAAAATGGGGTAAGAGGTGTCTGTTTCAAGAAATGTCATAATTAGGGGTAACTTGTGTTTGAAGATTTTTCTGTTGTATTCTTAAGAGTGTTGCATTAATTGGCCTTTGTTTCTATATTATTAATAAAAAACAGCAGTAGCCCTTAATAAGGGTTGTCGTGTGCTTTTTTTTTTATCAACCCTTGAAAGCTTGTTTACAAAGAGGGTTCAGCTTAAATTGAGGACGACGCAGCAAGCAATGGAAAGAAAAATGGTAGGTGCAACCTTAAGGGACAAGAAGAGAGCAGAGTGGATGAGACAGCAAACGAGGTTTAAGGATATCATAGTTGAAATAAAGAAGAGGAAATGGACATGGGCTGGGCATGTAGTGCGTAGACAGGATAACCGCTGGTCATTAAGGGTAGCTGACTGGATTCCCAGAGAAGGCCAGCGGGTTAGGGGGAGACAGAAGGTTAGGTGGGCAGATGAGATTAAGAAGTTTGCGGGTATAAAGTGGACGCAGCAAGCACAGGATCGAGTTGACTGGCAGAACATGGGAGAGGCCTTTGTCCTGCAGTGGACGTAGTCAGGCTGATGATGATGATGATGATGATGATGATGATGATGATGATGATGATGATGATGATGATGATGATGATGATGATGTTTCTATCAGCCCTGCACCCACCAGTCCTGCTGTGAGCCCCAGTGGGGAGCTTCCTCTCGTCGAGACACTCCAAGAGCGGCTACGCAGCTACACCGCGGCCGAATCGGCGGCAAAGTCCTTTGGCGACAGCTCCAAGGCCCGGCGTTATGGTCGTGCAATCAAGGTGGGTTCCATGCTGCTGTTTTCGAAACAAACTGAATGTAATGAAGAGCTTGTTAAGTTGATTACATCTCTCTCACTGTGATTGGAGAAAAACTGTATAATGTGCACAGCAAGCAAAAATGAGTATTGCTTGCGCAAGATCAAAGGACGCACGCTTGACAGGCAGGAATGTGAAACCTCATAACTTGGGGTACTAATCGAGTCATGTTTGCATGGAATAGTTATTGAGGGCTCTGAGCTTGAAAGACCTTTAAAAATAATTTAGAGTATTAGAAAACAATCTGCGTGCGAGTATTTACTGGTGACAAGCTTTGAAAACACTTGAATCAATGGGATCACATAATTTCATTTTGTTACAAAAAAGGTACTAATGTCGATGGTGCCTTTTGGGGTGTTGCTGTGGATCTGTCTTTTTTTCCTCTTGTTTTTTTAACTCTGTATTTTACTAATAGGATTTCGAAACAGACGAAACATTTTGTCACTGTCTGCAGGTGACATGTTTCGAATAACACCTACATGAGTGTGGCATGGTTAACTGTACAAAAACAGCGGTTGTCCTTTATAGGGGTTGTCATGTGCCTTTTTTTAGCAACTCTTAAAAGCTTGGTTCACCACTGCAATATTTGGTTCCGTAGGCTGGCATGTCGTGCCTGGGCCTCATCACATTGTCGCTGGCAGCTCGTCTGCGATGCCTTTGTACGCTGTGCAATTCGGCGACACTGAATCACATCACGCTAGTTGAAAGTTGGCCTGCTGTGTGAATCCAACTTGAGAAGCGAGACCTAATGTGTCATGTAAATCAGAGTTATTCAGTCACACGAGTCGGCAAACTTGTGTGACTGTCAATGGCAGATATTGAAGCGTAAAACAGCGATTGGCTGCAGCAGAGGTCCGCTCATTTTTGCCTCCTGCAGTTATCACCTGGCAACTCAGGTGCCAAACCAAGTGGTCAGTTAGTCTGGCATGTAAATGAAATCGCATCTCTTTTAAAACGTTTCCGTTCCCTAATGTCGACAGACTTCAAGTGACTCTCGGCCAGTGCTGGGTACGTAGATGCAAAATTGGAGCACTTACACCAGACTTCTATATACTCGGACGAGATATCGAGGCATTGTTGAAAGAAAATTACCGTATTTACTCGATTCTACCGCGCCCTCGATTGTAACGCGCACCCGATTTCCACCGCGAAAAAAAAAAAAAAACGTAAGACATCAATTGCAACGCGCACCCATTTTTCTCGCCGGCCCGCACGATCACACCACTCGAAAAAACGACTCCTTTCGGGAGCGTATTCTATTTAAGTATGAGGGACGGGCGAAGCTTGTGCCCATCTGACGTGTAACAGAGCTTTCCGTCACGGTAGTTTTACCGTGGACCGATGTCAGCACGCGAACTTGCTTCGCGCCCTTCTTCTCGACGGTTGTGGTGCCAGGCATGTCGAAGTAAAGAGGCGTCTGATGGGCAATCCCGATTTGCCCAAGCAGGTAGCCGTTGTTGCGCCGCAAGTTTAGGACGAACCTCTGAAAACTGTGAAGCTTTTCATCATACTCCTCCGCAAAACTTTTCGCATATGCATGTTCCCTTCGGAGGGAAAAGCCTTTCCTCTAAATAAAGTTAGTTAGCCAGCACCTGCTCGCTTTAAACTGGCTCTGCATTAGACCTTTTTCCAAGACTGATTGCATAGCCCGCACTTGGAGCAGTTCTGTCGTCACGGGCTGCTGTGCCTGCCGCTCGCTGCTCAAGCACATACTTGCCGAGCAGCTCTTTAATTTGCGGAAACCGACCCTGCTGTGGTCCACTGAAGCCTTTGCGTGAAGCTTTGCTGTCGAGAATCTTCTGCTTTTGTTTCCGCCGGTCCCGCACGCACGTTTCGGGAACTCCGAACAACAGCGATGCGGCCCGATTTCCGTCCGTTTCTGCACACGCCATAACTTTTCTTTTAAAAGCGGCATCGTGGTGCTATCGAGTTTTTGGAGCCGGCCCTTCCACGCCGTCGATGCTAATGCACTACTAGATGACGAACTCCTCAGCACACGTACGAAGTGCCGCACATGGGAAACACATAGGCAGAAATGGCCGACGCGCCATGCCGACGCACGTAGGGGGCGGCCATTTTGGATTTGCTGATGGCAATAGATTGACCGTAATTTTTTTGTTTGTACTCGATTCTAACGCGCATGCAATTTATAAACTCGCTTAACCGGAAAAAAGGTGCGCGTTAGATTCGAGTAATTACGGTACATGAACATGTTGTTTTCTTCCAACTCAGCTAAATGTTAAAGATATGTCATCACTGGCTGCTGGCCCTTTGTAGAAAACTGCATTATGCACTTTAAAGACAGCCCGAACAAGTTACAAAAAAAATATTGTGGCCCAAGTTGTCAGAGTTTTCACAATATGTCACTTGGTTAACCTCCATTACACTGACATTTTATTTGCAATTTCCGACGACAGTGTTCCGAAGGCAGTTACAGAGCACCAAAGACCAGCACCATGCCTGTGCTCTCATAAATGCTAGCAGTTGCAAGCAGCCGTGTGCTATTCCATTCTTCCTAACACGGGGCTTCCTTCTACTAGTCGCACATATTGCCTCTGCTACGCGTTATGCAAGTTGATATGCAAGCCTTGTTTGGACCGGTCAAGCCTTCAATGGGCGGGGCAAAGAGGGTATGGCGGATCTGTAAGATGCACTTTCCTTGTGCTTCTACGTTCTTCTTGTGGTTTTAGGCGTCTGAAATTCTCCCCCATTATGATGTGCCCACTAGCCCAGCAAAAAGTACTCCCAAGCCGGAGCTTGTCGCGGAAGCGACGGTATTGCAGTGTGGAGTGCCGCCTCCTTTGAGATCTGGCAGCAAGGGGCACTCCACGCAGTGTCGGGTTTAGGACTGTGGCTAGTTTCGCCTCCGATCAATCCACTCTGTTGGTAGCCATTTACATCTACTCTAGATCAAGGGAGAGCTAGCCATTTTTTTCTCAGTGTTGTTGAGTAGGTAGGAAGTTTCGGAGGTTTGTGCAAGGCTGTTGTAACCACTCTCATGATTTTCACAGACCCTGGAATCTTTGTTGAAGAAGGCAAAGGCGGGTGCACCAGTGAGCGAAGAGGAGATCCCTCCTCCCGTTGCCATTCCCAAGCCGCCAGCTCCGGCTTCGGAGGTCTCCCGTGAGTTTTCTTTCCCCATTCTCGAACGTAGGCCTAATGGTTAAAAGGCACGCTGGTTCCTCATAGTATATGTGCTACGTTTCATTCGTCGCAAAGTATTGAGCTAATTTATCGCTGCTCTTGCGCAGCTTGTCCATGCCAAACTGTGCCCAAACTGTTTTGAACGAGGCTCGTGCATTTCCAAGCTAGTTCGTGTGTCTCTCTACAGATGACAGCATTTGCTGGGCAGTTTCCTTTATTTTAATAATCATTTCACATTTTTTCATGACTTGTTTCATGACCACTAGAACTATGTGCCCATGAAGGCATCTAAGTAACTAACAATTGAATTTATCTGCTAAGCGTGAAATTCTTGTTTTGCAGTGAGCCGCCCTAAGGAAAGACTTGGGCTTTCATCCGGAACTTTGTAAATCGCTAGACCAAAGCTCAAAGGTGTACAAATTGTACCCAATTTCACAGCTTTATTGCTGTGCGTTGTCATTGTAAATGTATTGGATAGTTAATTTTTAAAAGACCTCCACTCACAAAAAGCAACTACAGATCAAGTTATGTCTACAACAGTGCCTGTATACTGAAGGAAAAAAAAGGGAGAGAGAGAGAGAGTCATTGTAAAGCGTTATGACTTTTTTTTTTATGAAACTGGCAAGCACCTTCTTGTGTCCTTTTTCTGTTTTTCTTTTCGAATGCAAAGACGAGTTTCTCAAGGTGGCCAAACTGGACAGGGGCCACAATGCATCTGACACCCCTCTTTCAGAGCCATCTGCTCCCTTGGGGGATGACAAGCCGGCAGAGCCATCGAGACCCGATGCGGCGCCAACCGCTCCAGCGCGAAGGCCTGCCCCTCCGATTCCGACGCGTGAGTGCTGTGTACATTATGTTCAGAGTCAGTTTTCCTGAAGTCTGTCATGCTGGCGGCGAGGGGTTTCCCTAGGTTATCCTCAAATGGCCTTTCTCTTTTGCATCCATAATGTGCACTATGACAATCATTCGATGGATTGATCAGAGCCCCTCAACATGTTTAAAATTTATGGCAAAAGCTCGCTTATTTGCGTTTCACAGGGCCGGAAAAAATGGCTGAATTAACTGAATAATCGATGGTATCAGCAAAACAATAAACAAGTGTCTGCTTGTCAATACACTTTCATATCCCGTGCTTACTTTGCCAAAGAGCAATGTAAAAGCTGCAATTTTCTCCACCTATGACTTGGTGCACAGTTAGACCGTGGCTCCTTTTCTAGCTCACCCGAAACGCACTAATCCGAAAGGAACCCGTAATGTCATTAGTGGCATTACAGCGTGGTTCACGCTGATGACAATGGTGAAGTAGACTGCGCCACTTCGCTTCTGGTGACAGCGAGTGCCATTCTCACTCCATTGTGTCGCACATTTGATGCGCTTCGTACACAGCGCTCTCCAAGAATCCTCCAAACTAACTATGTTGCGACCAGATATGGCCGAGTCAGTGAGAGTTTAATGCCATTGAACAATACACAGGGTTGCCGGGACCTGAGCCCCTGTCTGAATAATTCAGTTTTTAAAAAATAATGGGTGTTGAATAAGGAAGCTTTTTGTGTGCTACAAGTAGATTAGCATGCTCAGATTCTGCCAAAGGGCGGCAGGCAGAGATGAAAAACATGGGCAGGAGTAAAAAAAATTCACACCACCTTCTCAACGGCAACCCTGATGGGATGCGAATCAGCAGCGTTGCGCATGGGGAGCGTCACGGGTCGAAAGGCGCTGACTCGGGTGCTGCGGTGAGCACTGGGAGATTCACAGCGACGGTCGCCGTAGTGGACCGAGCGGTGGTAGCAGCAGGTGTTTTGGGCGAACGGACGAGGTGGCAGCTGCGGGCGCTGCGGTGAGCGTATGGCGGTTGAGGGAGAGAGTGAAGTCAGCGTGCACTGTGAGCGGAGTGTGATGTCTTCGCGCAGCTGCGGCTTGACCTACTTGGCCCCGCTCTAACACCTGCGGGGAGGGGAGAGAGGCAGGCATGTTCGTACGGACGCATGAATTGACAGCGCTGCACAGGCTAGTTAAAGAGCTGCTTCGCATCTAATAAAAAGCAACATCTCGTGCATGTTGACCTCGACTAAGAGCATTCGTTATTTGTTTTACGACACCAGGTCCAGATCCCACTCCTGCCGCTGCTCCAGAAGCAGAGCCACCCGCCAGCACCGGCAGTCCGCAGGAGCAGCTGTTGACAACACGTAGGGACCAGTACAAGCGAGCTGCCATCAATGCCAAGAAGCGCGGCGACCAACAGGCTGCCATTAGCTACATCCGCACAGCCAAGGTACGGAAACAATATTCATTACTAGAGCACTGCATGGGCCTGCGAGAGCCTGGCAGCCCGTGCCCAGCTGGGCTTTGTAGGGTCTGGCCAGGGCTGAGTTCAGGCCCATGAGCTTCGTGCTCGGGTAGGGCCCAGGCCTGAGTCAGGCCCGTATTAGGCCCGTGTCTCATATATAAGGTGTTTCAAGATATGTGTCCGATATTATTTAAAAATTGCAGAAAGGAGGGCATCTGCATGCTACCTGCGGCGTTTCCTTTACTTTGGCAGAAGGCATCTTCAGATGTGTAGAAACAATACTTGTGGACGTAATTAAAGGATTGAGAAAAAATTAGCTTTGTATGCAATTTAAAACAGTTAATTTCTCCTTGAGGGCATTTTCGAAGTGAATTGTAAATGGTGCTGTTTAGTGCATTGGTTTCGGTTTCGCCAGCTAAATTAAGCAGATTTCATCGCTCCACAGTGGTTACCAGTGACCGTGTTTCCAAAATTTCAAAGTGGCTATAGACTATTCTTGGGAAGAACTTTAATTCACCCATTTGACTCGAGCGGCAGTTTCGACTGGTTGAAAAGTTCGTTGTTGTTTTAATTTCTGTAATTACTACTGTGATTAGTGCAGATAGAAGCTCTCATCATTCCTTCCACTGCGGCAACATTACTACCAATAGCGACATTAAAGACTCATAATCTTCACGAAGTCATCATTGTAGAAGGTATATCATTGGTAGATCAGGACGTCTTGAGGGGCTAGTTGGTTCATTACTTCAAAGAAAAAATTGCACAACTAAAGAAAGACACCACAAAGAAGGAACACTTAAACAAGTGTTCCTTCATTGGCGGATGCAGTTGTTTTCCCAAGCGTCACGTGCAAACTTGGAGTAAATCTTCTGATTGGATCGGACCGATTGTCGAAATATACCAAATAACAGCAAAGTTCGTTGGGCATCAGATAGCAGAGAGTTAATTGCCATTAACAGGAAAGTAGAATGGACTTTCTCAGAACATTCCTGAAGCAAGACATCAACATCAAATGGTTGAGCGAAGCCATCGATTTCGGACATGGTTGCGATGAAGTTGTGCTGCCAAGGGCATCAGCGAAGGATCATGGCAGTGTTGCCATTTTTTTTAAAAGAAAGTAGTAGTTTAATCGTGTGTAAAAAGTATGAAGCCACACAAGAAAAATGGACATGCGGAGAAGATTGCCACCGATAAAATGTGAGGAGTAATTCGCGAAACATGTACGACAAGAACCCCAGTTGTGTTTGTCACTTCTTCGAACGGAGCAGAAGAGCACCCTTCAATGTTTAACTTGAAGAGGGAGTTGAAGACAGAGGCACTCTTGGTGTCGGCTCTTCCTTCGACAATGTGGTAACTTCAGAACACGGCAACTGGCCTCGATGGCTGCCCCATATCAGCACACCTCATTTCGAGTGACATCCATCGACATCGTTGTCATGGTGGCCTTCATGACATTCTCGCTGAGATATGTGAACGGTTCTAGTCACTAAGATGACACCCACATGTTAAACAAGTGCGCAAAAATTGTGATGCATGCACGCGATTCAGGCACAATGCTCCCTCAATAGCTACAACACCTTTCCAAAAGACAGTGTGTCCCGGTCGAAGCTGCTTCAAGTCAACAGTGTCGACAGTGTTGTGCTTGTGGCTGCGAGGGGGGCACTCTACTGTGCGAGGGTTTATTGACATTGTTAAACGTGTGCAGGTTAGAGCAGTGCACACATTTGAAGTGGCATTGCGGCCAACACATCTCTGAAGGCTTTCCGTCCTTTTATTCCACAGAGTTTCATATTACGATAAGGAAGTAACACTCAAGACAGGTAGTCGTGAACTGAACTCGAGGCTTTTGAGACACATTTTTTAGAACTCTGCTACAATTGTGTAAATAACATGAAAATTGTAGCTGTGCGTTATTCGTTAAGGGGAGGATTTGCGGAAGAATGATACGAACTGTAAAAGGCTGCCTGCGGAGAATATCAAGGAAAGGTTAGTGAAATCATCGGGGTGAAGGATGTAGAAAAACCAGTGTGACATGTACTGAACAGACGAAGAAGGGTAGTGAGGCAGAGGCTTGCTTGTTCTTGGGCTGTTCGAACGTGCATCATGTTCACTGAGCACCAATAAAGGGTCTAGAGAGATTTTCTCACAAAGACATAACCTTTTCAAGATCAAAGGCCATCACAAGAAGATGACGAGATAGGCATCTTTAGGGGAAAGCGAGGACGGTGGCTCGCTTTGACAGGTTATGGAACTGTGGTGGCAGCTACTCGTGGAGGAAGGGTGGGGAAAATAACCTTCTTGTTTTGAGCTCGAAAAGATAGGAGACAGCCAACGAGTCAAAACGACAGCTTTAATTTATGTAACGCTGCCCAGCCTGGTGTAATCCTCCCGTAGGAAGTTAGAGCGTGTTTCTTTTTATTGCCTGGCATCATAAATTACGTTTGCAGGATATGTGTTACTTTAACTCAACAGCCCCGGCTCGCGTGCAATTTATGTAGACTTGAACTATCAATATCTGCCATTTTTTCCGTTTCATGGGGCTAGTATATTTTGTAGAAGTTCTTTGAAATGCAAAAGTAAGGTTGTGTTTAGCACTGTGTACATGAGACCCACCTTTGGCTACAATTATATTTTATATTACCCTGCAAATATTTTGCAAAGGCGTTACGGTAGTAATTAACTGAAAGTTCACAGAGTATACCGGTGAAAGTGGGACACTGAAAGAAGTTCCAAAACACCCACTAGAATATATCTTGTCGGAAGAAGGTATCTTCACAATAACCGAAGAGTGGAGAGTGCCTAGTTTATGTTGAAGGCATAACTGGCTGAAACGGGCTGGACCAGTCTAGTTTCTGGTGGGACGGAGCATGAAGTTTTCGGGCTGGAAAAATTGGCCCGTGCAGTGCTCTATTCCTTACTAATCTTTCTCGCATGATGCAATGATGAGGTGCACAATGTAGTAGTGAACATATGGACACTGCAGCCATGATTGGTAGGGCCAGCATAATATCTTGTGTGTGCGTGTCCTTGACAGTAAAATCTTGTAGTTGTGTCCCATGCTTATTACCTTTTCTTGATACTCGTGCTGTGAAAAGTCAGTCACGTTTTAGACTCCTTTGAGGCAATTGGTATAGTGTGTTACTTTTTCCTGTATCATGCATTCTGTTTCTGTGGTCTCCTCAGAAACGTAACTATGACGTTCTGTTGGATATGCTGTCTCTTCTGGCCAACTTATTTTCAGTTCAGGTGGCGAAAGGCCTTGACACGAAGGACAAATACTGCATAACAAGCTGTACGAAATTTAGTTGAGGTGTTCGTTGGCTCATCTGCCTGGCTCTCCAAAAGTTCTTTTACAGCGTCTGAGGTGAAAAAGCCAGGAGCATGCTCATCTGCATTTGCTGGCAGAGGAGAACGCGAGTGTTGGTGTCTGTTGGTGCTTTAGGGGCCCGGCGTTTCGCTTTAGCGCTTTTGCTTGCATAACTGGTCCTAGCTGCATCTAAGCCGCAGCCATATATTTTTGTTTGGCAGCACGTTGCTTTTCATTAAGGGAAGATGCGATTTCAAAAAGAAGTTTCTTGAAAGTGTGGGCTGAAGCAATGAAATCTTCTGCTGTATATAGATGTTTTAAGGCTGATTTCAAATACGTAATTATTTTTGTGGCAAGTTGCACAGTCTTCATTTTGTGCCATGACAAGTTTGTTTATAGTTGGTTTTGGACAAGTGCCATTCAGATTTTATGTTTCTTAGCTCCGCAATGGCTCATATTGCTCCTCATTAACTGTAAGATGCAAATAACTATCGAGAAAGTGCGTATAAGACATTTTAGTGGACAGGTGTAATGAGAGAATTCTTAGAATCGTCAGGCCACACCTTTTGCTTGTTTTAGCTTCGTAATAATTATACAGGCGATACCAAGCTCTAAAAAAAATATACTTGCACTCTACACATGTTAAGGAATACCTGAACAAATTTTCATCCTGATTCGGCTGTCATAGTATCGAACACATGATGTCTAGTCTCAAGAAGTTGCCTAAAAATGTATTTCGAGAAAAACGCTTTTTAAAGGTACAAGTCAAAGCTCATCTGTGCAGCAAGGATATGTTTTTTAGAATGATTTCGTCCATCATGAGAGCTTGGCGGTCACTGTTATTTTGAGCATGTGGCCTTAGTCAGCTCTTCATGCAAAATGTAATGGCCAGCAGCCAGGCGACAATTTATAGGGGTCTGTGAACAATAAACTTTTTTGTTAGATTTTGGTAGCCACCTTGTGCTCTGTAAAAGCGATTTTAACCTATTTCGAATTTAATTACAATCTTCAGTTTTTTTCTCGTGAAACTAGAAAAACCAAACTTGCAAAAGCAAAAAACAAAAACAAAAATGTGTAGTTTTTGAAAAAGCTTGCCTTTTTCGACTTGCATCTCTTATTAAAAAAGGTGTTGCTTGGTGGCCTAAAATGCTTTCAGTCATTAATGATTGGCGTCAGTCTAACAGCTTTCTCATGTTTTTGTTGTTGCATTTTGTTTGTTCCTCTGCGGAGGTTTCCTCACCAAATTTAGTGCCTGTATGCTCTGTTGTAGCAATTCGACGCCGTGCTCACGGCAATGCTTCAAGGGCAGCCCGTGGACTTGTCGAAGATGCCTCCACCACCACCCGAGTTTCAAGGTTAGAGCTCGCTTCGCTACTTTTGCAAGCAATCAATGAGGTCAATCATTGAATCAATCCAATCAGTCAATCAATCTATTGGTTACGAGGTTTCAATTGCAAACAGTTTTGTCAAGAGACATTCAAGGGAAAAGAGGCAGAAAGAATCTTGGCATGTCCTGGAGGCTGTCATATTCTGAAATGACATGACTGAGTTTTTCATTTGTATCATGTAGACAAAACCGAAAAATGTAAAGGCACGAGTTTTGCATGTTGCCATTCTGCTTGTGAACTCGAAGAAATTTACTGACGAGCCTTGATGCTGAGGTCGGTTTTTGATGTGGCTCATTGTCGACAGTCCTGCAGTGAAAAAAATGTGGCTCTGTAATGTGTGAATAACCTGTGCTTTCTCACGCTGATGACTATGGGTTTCTCGTGTGCAGAAACAACTGACCCAACCACTTTGGCTTTGGCATCAGTTTTTGAATTTTACAGCGACGCTGTCGCCATCATTTCAGCTTAATGTTATTCAAGCTTTCGATTAAATGTAGTAGAAGACTGGACATTAACTGCCTTACTGAGCACGGTCTAATAGCAGTTTGAGAAGCACTGTGATGTCAATTAATGTTGCATCTTTCAGTGTTACGGCTAGCAAACACATTTGTCATTGAGCTTTTTTTTTTTTTGCAGTGCAAAACTCTAAAGATAATTAAAGTTTTAATCTGAGCGTGTTGGTGATGCATTTTGAAAAACACTGTGATGCCTATTAATTTTGATGTTTCAGTATTATTTCTAGCAAGCACAGTTTTCATTTCATTTTTTTTCTGGTGCACTTGTGTTAGTTGTCTTTTGTTGTCCAACCTTGAGGATTATGCAAGTTGCAATATGAGCTTGTTGGTAGAGCATTTTTAGCAGTTTTTTTTTTACTGGGATATAAAGACAAGTATGTGTCCTACGTGTATTTCTTGGGCCTGTCTTTCACTCATGTTGGGGAAAACCCACCCGCTCCAACGTACCGCGTCTTTGCTTAGGTGTCTACCAACTGGCCCAAGTGAACCCTGTTAAACTGAAAATTTTTCTCTACTTTTGAGCCGTAGGGTCAGAAAAAAAAAATGCATGGAATTATAAATCACAATGTCATTTTATGCACCAGTGGCAAGGATTTAATGCTTTTTCTGCCCAAACACATTCAATGCTCTGTTGTTATTTTTTGGCAGGTTCTGAACATGCTTCAGCAGCACCAGCAGGGCCACCCAGTGTGCCAACTACCGAATCCCAGAAACAGGCATCGGGCGATGACGGTGCTACAGTGCCATCTTACATCGACGAAAACGGTGATGTCTAACGGAATCTTGAAAACACGTGATGACACTGAGAAAGAAAGCATTGGGTTACAATTTTTAACTATTGTGTGACAATGATGACGTAGCTGTAAAATAATTAGAGTAAATGAAAAATCAATTTGCCTCGGTGGGGACCAAACTTGGAACCTTTAAACATGTGTTTGATTCTCTGCATCATTACATGTTTGTTGGTGTCACTATCTGTTGACGTCATCATGTTTTGTCTGATGAAGAAACAAGCCCTCGAACAATGTCTTTCTTTTTTGGACCCTGAAATAGCAACACCCACTTAGTTCAGACTTAAGGTGAAGTGTTCTTGAGAAGCTCTCCTGTCTTTAACCTGTGAAAGAAAACCTCGATTATTTGTGTTCAACAGGAACGCTAAGGAACGCTTGAATTTCACTTCAGGAACGCTTGAATATCACTTCAAATTTGACGTTGAAATCTTTGGCCGTGTACCTTAGTACGATGCGATGGACTTCACATTTCTTTCTTGTATCTGGGCTGTTGCAGTGCTAAAAATTTATTCGAACTTTCTTCGTTAAGTCCCTAGTTAACAAAACACAGCATATGATCTTTGATCAATAAAATCACCTAGATGCAAGTGCACACTGAAAAATTTCATCAGATAAGGATGACCTAAAACAAGAACTCCAAAACTGCCATCGTTTTTTTTTTTAATGCAATTGTACCTTATCTGGTTTATCAGGCCTGTTCTTGCCACAAGAGAAGCCATTTTGCTAATGTTTCATTTGCCAATGCAGCATAATTTAATGCCTTTCATTTATTTCTAAAACATATGTTATTGTTATGAATAGCAGGCTGTTGGCAAAAAGATAGGTGCTGTAATTTCCCAAAAAAGTGTGCACAGCCGGTTTCTTATTTCATCTTGTTGATTTAATGTTTCAGTTCGTAAGTAACCTGCAAATACCGTGTTCACTGGAGTCTAAGCCGATAGTTAAGAAAAAGATGTGCATAGTAGAACTCATGAATTGAAATAAATAAATAAAACAATTTCACTGCTCTCTGTAGTTGCAATGTATATATGTTGTAAAACAGTAGGCAGACTTGGGCCTAAAGGTATTTTTATCACATCAAATGCAAAGTGGAAAGATACAATCATTATTGTTTTGATTTTCGGGCTGTTCTTTAAGTGGCCTGTTTGGGCGAAGTATGCAATGTCGGGTAGTGCCCAGAGAAAGCCGCCGATGTTCGTAATTATAATTTACCATATTATTAGACTTCTGTTCTTATAAAGTGGCATTGTAAATTTCTTTTATGAAGTCCCAGTATTTTATTTTGTGAAAGAAACCTATGCACAGTCACAGTGTGGGGCAAAGAAAGGCAACCCTACAAGCGTCATGATTCTGTGCTGGTTTCCTTCGTAGTGTTGCACCAACAAAGCGTAAGTTTTCCATATTTAAAATTTTTGGCATTTTGAGAGGTGTTTGCTCGGAACTGAGGTTGGTGTCGATTCAAGCAGATGTGCTCCTTTTTTTTATGTATTCACCTCATTATTTCTACCTAGTGGTCAGTGATGGTGTCATGGTGAAATCTTCTAGCATGAAAATCAGAGAAACGATGTGGCTTTGCTGGAACTCCTTCTTGTCCTGTGTTCACACAGTTGAGGACGATCCAACGCTGTTTGGCGGGCCACCTCCCCCAGCCACTGTAATGGAGGCACTCCAGCAGAGGCTGGATAAGTATAAGAGCACGTTCAGCGAAGCCAAGGAACAGGGGAACGACCGGAAGGCTCGGCGGCTCGAGCGCATCGTCAAGGTGAGTCACATGGGCTCTTCAACCTTGCCGCTGGGTCCTTGTGTGAGCACGCTTTGGAAGATGATTGCACAAAACAAATGAATTTGCAGATGAGGACGAGGTCAGTTACGCAATCCAAACATTCGGCAACTGCGAATGTAGTGAGTAATCTTAACTGTGTGCAAGCAGAGAGGTAGTTTTAGGTGGTGCACCGACTCCCAGCGTTTTTGCAACTCTGGGGTGAATTCGGGAAGGCTGCCACTTTTGGTGTTTACCTTTTCATTGCAATCATGACATGTCATGATCACTATACTAGACTAATGTAAAATTAATAGTGTATAGTAGACCAACAGTAAGTTTGTTGCTTAAATAAAACGACTGCTTTTAACACGATTTGTTTCATATTTGAGTTCTGCTCCTCTGTTTACCTCTCAGTAAGTGAAACTCCTAATAAACGGAACATAATTTTTGGGTCTCTTCAAGTTTCATTTTATGAGATGTTCTACCATATTTCACGCCCAGGATAGTTCATTGCTCTGCCCACTTGTGCCTGCCAAGATTGCTTAGTGTCTATAGCGTGAGGCCGTTGGCTTGATTCTCTGGCCATTGTGAACGCATCTTCAATTGAGGCGAAATGCAAAAGCAGCTGCACGTTTACATTCAGGGGCTTGTCAAAGAAACTCAAGTAGTTAAAATTAATGCAGAGTCCCATACTACAATGGCAGGTCTCAGAATTAAATTGTTGTTTTGGTGTGCAAAGCGCAGTACTTTGATCACACTTTTTCTGTGTCGTTTGATGTGGGAGCATCGTGACTAGGCCTTCAGCAGTGTGCCGAATAATGGATAGACTCAGAACTTGCTTGAAAGCAACTTGTAATTGATGTACTTAATGACCATTCCATCCGAAATTGAGTCATCATCCTAATAGGGAAAAGTCATCATCTCTTTATGTGTAATGTGTAGAGAATATTGATGCCTTACACAGCTTAATGAAGACTCATTAACACCACAAATATGGACACTTTTACCTATTTTGACGGTTTGTGATAAAAATATTTCATTTCTTTGGTGTCTGTGCCTTGGGTCTCGTCCTCATCGGGGACAAAACTGCCTGCAGTGCAACAGCTAATTGGCGGGCATTCTTTCTGCAATTTGTATGGTTTATTTGATTCGATCTTGTTTTGTTTGTTTTCACAGCAATACGAGGACGCGATCAAACTGCACAAGGCTGGAAAGCCTGTCGACTTTGAGGAACTACCCGCTCCTCCAGGTATGTTTAACAGCTAGTGTCAGCGTGCATGAAGTGCTTTATATTAAAGATTGAGGCAATATTTCATTACAATTTTATAAGAAATTCTTTGTCATCGGCTTGCACTGAGCCGACACGCTACCTCTGTCATCTTTGGAATCTGTTTTCTGGCTAGAAAAGAAGGGCAAAGATTGTTGCAATACGTGACCTCATCTATGCTGTTCGTCATTCTGTGATCATTTCGCTATGCGTTCAATAGTTTCCTTCTCTTTTGACGATAACTTTTATGTTTGCGTTAAGAATACATCTAACATTTGGCGTCTCAGAGCAGTGAAACGATTCTGCTGACATAAATTTTTCTAGCCCACTCTGTGGAAGTGGCACGGTAAAGAAGTAGTGTTCCTGAATGTGTGGGCACTTGACTAGCTTTGTTCCTCATGTCCATGTGCTCTGCGGTGTTTACTTGAGTGCCAGTGAAAGTAATATTTGCTGCAACACTAATCATATAGGCTGATATTTCCTTGTAAAGTATTCATGTATGTACAACTGCATTCAGATGGAGTTGAACTTCAATCTTAAAGGACCCCTGGCAGTGAAAGTTTTGCTTGCAACTTTTTCACAATGATTTGTAGCTTTGCGCCTGGTGATGGCGAAATTGAATCATAAATGCTCCAACGCATCATGAAATTAATGCTAGCATCGCTAATTCTGAATGATTTTGCATCATTTAAAAATGCTCGATTCAATTTCTTAAGAAAATAGCACCCCACAGGGGGGCAGTGCCTCAGACTACGTACACTCAAGCTTCGCTGACACTGAATGCGCCGTTTTCAAACAGGCGGACAGGGGGACTTGGGGGGACCCCCGGTTGGTAAAAAATAAACAGTGTGGGTGCTTTGAGTGTCCCCCCTCAGAATGAGTGTGTCCCCTTCAGAAAAAAAAAAAAAAACATTCCTGGCAGCCAAAACTACCTTGAAAGCAGCTAACAACAAAGCCAAACCACAGAAAATGTCAATTGCACCTAAAAACTTAGATGAGAATGCACTTTTACTTTAAAACCAAATTAAGATATCTTGTAGGCAACATTCGTGACTAAGAATCGGTCAGAAATGGCCTTGCATGCTGGACTATCCAACAAGACGAACATCTCGAGTTTCCAATTTTGGCGTCAGGGGTCCTCTAACAGCTGCATCTTATTGCAACTGCATTAAGATGCGATGGCATTTTTAGATTCTGTTCATTTTGATCACATTCTTGGTTTTTTCAGGTTTCGGACCTATCCCTGTCCCCTCTGAGCCAGCGCCTGCTCCGAAGCCGGAGCCACCCAAGCCGGCGCCGAAGCCAGCCCCCAAGCCTGCTGCCAAGCCGGCTGCTCCGCAGCCGGGTGCAGCCGCTGCCAGGGCAGCACAGCCTGGGTCTGCTTCCCCCAAAAAACCACGTGAGCATTACTTTATTTATTTTCAGTGGAGGTGGGCAAATGGCAAAATTTTGGGTGCGAAGCAAATTCTAATAATAAAGTTTGAGTGCGAATCAAATCAAATCGTTTCAAAAGATTTCTTAAAGGTTTCTCTATTTCTTCAAAGTGAAGTTACAGAATAAAAGTTTCAGAGGATTCCTAAGCATATTCTAAATTATAATATAAAGAGATATAGCGCCGCAATGGCATAACCAGGCGCCGCCATTTCGTTGTAAAGAGCCCTTCTTCGTCTTCAGATTTCCTGCTTCAGCTAGGTTTCTGAAATACACAACTGCGCCCCTTATTCATTGCGTTTTATGTGTTCTCACGTTGTGCCCAAAAAAAGGCAATTTCTGCCTTTTTTTTTTACTGTCAATGTAAAACTAAGCAGCAGCCACTGTGGTGCTACTACTTCTCACGGACAAGTACATTTCATTAAATTTAACAATGAAAGGGATTATCAATATTCACTAAACCCAAAGATTAAGGGCACATTTCGGTATTTGGAACGAATCGGTGCTTTTTCTGATCAAATTCTGCTGCAGCTTGCAAGTTTGTCACTTAATTTTTTTACAGTGCGTCGCGGTCTTTCGACCACCATCGACAAGCAAATGCAGTTCCTTCAAGAGCGGCAGAGGCTGTTCCGAGAGGCCGCATTGGAGGCCAAGCGTCGGGGCGAGGTCGAACAGGCCAAGCAGTACCTCCGTACGATGAAGGTGTGTGCTGTTGTGGTGAACACACCTACATTGAACATGTTACATGTGGTGGACGTGTTTTATTGTGGTGACACTGGGAATGTCTGTCAAGAGGAGAAAACTGAAGCTGGTCCAGGTTCAGAGGTAAATCCAGGTGAGCCGCAGTGGAGATGTAAAAACGGAAATATAAATTAGGTTGAAAGAGAGACTGAAAAAATAGCATCTTTGCCTTTCACGTGTAAGGTGTTGTCGGTAGCACTTCAGTTGCACCAGATCATGTACATTGTTACCAAAAGAGAAGTACCTATGTCACAATTTCACAACGATGAGGAAAAAGCGCTGTTGTCACTCAAGTTCACTATACCTTCGGAAGTTCATTCCAGTCTCTAATTGTTTTTAAAAGAAGGAGTTGGCAAAAGTAGTGGTTTTGTATGCGTATTCTGTATTTTATGTGAGTGTTGGCATCTTGTGGAACGATATGTTGGTGCTAGTAGGTATTCAGACTTATTAATTCCTGTTAGGTTATAATATATGCTGTGCAGAAGTTTTAATCGAAGTTTCCGTCTTCTAGATTTTAGGAGTTTCCCAGCCTAATATGGCCTTTATTTCTGACATACTAGCGAATGGGTCGTAGTTGTTGCTGACGAAACGGGCTGCCTGGTTTTGGACTTTTTCTATTGTTTTTGCAAGATACTTTTGAGCCGGGTCCCAGATAACACAAGCATATTCAAGTATAGACCTGACAAGAAGGAAGTAAAGAGTTTCTTTCACCTCTTTTGTTGCACAGTGAAAGTTTCTACGAATAAAAAACAACGTTCTACTAGCCTTTGAGATCATTTGGTCTATGTGTCTGTTCCAATGGAATGATTCTGTCAAGTAAATTCCTAAATATTTACACTCGGGCACTTTTTTGACTGCCTCGCCATTAATACTGTATGTGCACTGGATTTTTGAAATGTTCTTTGCAAAGCTGATGTGGTTGCACTTCGAGATATTTAAGCACATATTCCACGTGGAGCACCAATGTGTTACCGTGTTTAAGTCATCTTGCAATAATTCAGTGTCTGTGATTGAAGTAATGTGACGGTAGATGACGCAATCGTCTGCGAATAATTTTATGCAAGATTTTATGTTATAGGCTATATCATTTATATAAACCAAAAATAACAGCGGACCTAGAACGCTACCTTGTGGCACGCCTGAGGTCACGTTTACATATGAAGACGTTTTAGAATTTAAAACAACACACTGTTTACGACCACTTAAGTAATTCCGTAGCCAGGTTTGCAGCTTAGCATTAATATTCAGTGAAGCCAGTTTAATATCTAACAGATTATGTGGGACCGTATCAAATGCCTTGCGAAATCGAGAAATAATGCATCAACAATGTTGTTACGGTCAAGCGCAGTCAGTACGTCATGCTGAAATTCAGTTAGTTGTGTGACGCATGAACGACCCTGCCGAAATCCATGCTGGGAGCGGGCAAAAAAATGAGTAGATTCGAGATATTTGAACAATGCGCTATAAATAACATGTTCTAATAATTTGCAACAGGTTGAAATTAAGGATATGGGACGATAATTTTGTACATGTTTTTTGCTTCCTGCCTTGTGTACAGGAACCACATTGGCTGTTTTCCAATCCCTTGGAATAACGCCGGTGTCTAGAGACAACTTGTACATTATGCATAAATATTGTGCAATAATAACGTGACACTTTTTAAGTACATGAGATGATATACCGTCAGGCCCTGTAGCCTTAGAGGTGTCCAGAGTACGCAGCAGACTATCCAAACCAGCGTAATCGATTTCAATTTCCGCCATTTCATTACCAATATTTTTTGAAGGTAGCATTGGAGAGTGTTCAGTTCTTTTTGAAAACACTGACTGAAAATAGGCGTTAAATGCTTCAGCTTTCTCCAAGTCATCCGTTATAGTTTTTTCCTGGGTTAAAAGGTCAGGGATAGCTGTGTCGTCTTTTCTGTTGCTCTTGACATACTTCCAAAAGAATTTTGGATTACACTTCAAGTCTGTGTTTAGCTTGTCAAAGAAGACACGCTTTGCCTGTTTTAGTTTTAACTTAAGCTCTTTGTTTACACTTTTGAGCTTTGTTTTATTTAGTGCTGTTCTCTTTTTAAGAAACCTTTTATGGGCATTCGCTGCTTTTCTAACAAGTTTGCGTATCTCAGAGTTGAACCAGGGTTTGTGCCTCTTTCTGCATCTTAGACACCTCTGAGGTACGTACATATTCACCAGCTCTGTAACCTTGTCACGGAAAATTTGCCACAATTCATCCATGCCGCATGACTCCGATATGCATAAAAAAGTGGGATAATACAAGACCAGCTCTTCGGAAATGGCATTAAAGTCCCCTCTGTCGTACATGAAAACATTTCGAGGGGTTTGCTTACACGCAGGTATTCTAGAAACGTTAACTCTGCAACAACGCAACTATGATCACTAATTCCTGGACATACGTTTGTGTGAACAATAACATTTTCGTCATTGCTTAGTAAAAGATCTAGTAAAGCGTTAAACCGAGTTGGTTCGTTCACATATTGTTGTAGCCCATAGACTGCAGAGGTAGTTGAAGGGTAATAAAAAAAATTGAGGGTGCAAATAAGCAGAGATCGTGTAAGCATTTCTATATCTAATAATTGTGATAATATTCTTTCTGGATGTGATGTATGGGCTGGGAGAAGGTTAAAAGACATTGTCTACTGCTCAGAAAAATTTTTTCTGTATGTGGCGCAAATGAGAAGATTGTTCATCACACCGACGGCAGCGAGCATGCTTTTGTCTCATTAAAAGGAATTATAATTTTATCTTGATGTTTAAAATTGACAAAAAGTGAACGCTAGCATCACCCAACGGTGATACGGTCAGTCTACTGGTAGGACAGCAAATTTTCACCAGTAGACTTACTTTGCTCAAAAACAATTATGTATAACTTAAAATTGTATTTTACGCACTTGAAGCAGCTTTAGATTGCACCAGAGACAAATTTTAGCTTTTTTTTTTCTCATGCGTACCAATAATCGCCCGATGGCACTGCCGGCGGTGTGTTCGCTGCCCTGCATGCCTGCCTGCAAACGGTGGAGAAACGTGAGCACGTAGTCCGCCGCCTCACTGGCAGTACAATTGCGCTTACGCTCAGCCATGCGCAGATGTAGCGTTCTAAGACGGTTTTCACTAGCAGTGCAATTGTCATCGCCTCTGCCGACTGCGGTGTTGTCGGCATTCATCCCACTGATAGAAGGAGTCGGATCGCAGATTGAGAAATTCTGCTTTCAAAATTCTTACGCACTTCCCAGAGAAACTGCTGCAAGGTTAGACACTTCGGATAGTACGCTTTTTATCGCAACAAAAAACAGAAAAGCAGTAAAGGACGCTAGACAGTTCCTTGAATGACCTGTTTTTTTTTTTACTGCTCATATCCAGCATTATGTATTCATATATAGCTGTAAACTCATTTCATATGACAGCTTTTCAGTGGCAAGCTTCACCTTCATTGGGGGTGATGGGGTGGGGTTGTATTTCTTTACATCTTGACAAAGAATCGTGGGATCGTGATCACGTGATAGCCATTCAGTAGCAGCAGCTCATCCAGTTGTCATCATGTTGTGGTAACCCAGTTATGCCAGCTTGCTCATTCGTCTCTTGCACTTCAAGATTGATTTTTTTAACAAGCTCTAGATGGTTGATTGAATGGTTCATGTTTGCAGGGAATCGAGCCCATGATACAGGCTACTGAGTGCGGCCTACCGATTGATGCATCAAGTGTGAGTAACTGTTTTTTACGGGTTTTTACACATACCCCTCTTTTTCTTGCATCTCTTTTCACGTGTCGCTTTGAACAATCTATTGCCGCTGCTCCACCTTCAGTGCTGATGTTCTAACTGGAACAACGGGGGATCTACTGTATATACTCGAATCTAGGCCGACCCCCGAAACCGGCAAGGCCAGAAAAAAGAAAGAAAACCTTTCCTCGAATGTAAAGCGAGCTTTTGACAGACAGAGGTCTGTCGTCGCAGGCTGAATCCAAACCGCTTCATGAAGCGTGTTGTCCAGCCCCTGCTGGCTTTAAAACAAGCTCGTGAGACACCCTTCGCGATGGCGACGTCTCTGGCCTTTGCCAGAATAATTTCAGTTGTCACGGGTATTCCCGCTTCCCTCTGTTCTCGAACAAAATCGGCGACAACTTCCTCCACTGCATGGTGTCGGCCGGTTTTTAGTCCAGTGAAGGCCACGCGAGTTGCTGCACAACCGAATAATTCCGCACGTTGTTTTCGCCATCGTCGCACGTTCTTTTCGTACACGCCGAACTATTGCTGAGCTCGTAGGTTCGATGTCTTTTCCGCATATAACGCGACCTTCCGCTTAAACGCCGCGCTGTAATGGCATCGCTTTGTTGATGCCATCGAATCTGAAGCACAATTGACGCAGGTGTTTCGCGAGCAAGAGGCACAACTTCACTGCACGATTGCTTTCAGAAGAATGACCATTGACCAACTCCGCGCCTCCTCTTCGCAACGTCCGCCACGCGATAGCCGCTAGGTGGCCTAGGTGGCAACAGCCGGGTTAAATTTTACTTCTGTTTTTCTTTTTTGGAAACCGGGTTCGGCTGGGAATTCATTTCATTTTTAACTCCAGTAAGCAAATTAGGTATTTCTATTCTATTTTAACATGAAGCAGGCGTTTTGAGCACCACAGAAAAAAAAAAACGTTTAGTTTTTGTTCACAAAGTATTACAGCTAGGGGGCGTTAGCCGCCGCATGATCTAAAGGGAGCAGCCATGTCAATCCATCCATCTATCGGAGGTAATCACGTGACAGGATCCACGTCTTCCCGTTTTTTTCATGGCTTTTTCAACATAAAATCTCGCCGGCTCGACGACCCTCGCTGCGTGAACGTGGAAATGCGTGATTTCTGGACAGTGGACCATACGAAAGCGATAGGGACCACTATTTTCCTGCATAACAGGCCTGAGTGGCCTCGTCGCCGTGGAGCTACCGTAGAATGTCGTGAAAATGAGATTCCGGCATGCAAAACCGATACCTTGAGATTGGCGTATTGAAGGCCGTAATGGCGCTAGCGCGGCTGGGCCTTCAGGCAGATGGCAGCGGGGGCCAAATTGTGGTACTTAAATCTAAGCTGACCCCCCCTCCCCCGCTTCCGCACATAATTTTTTCAAAAAACAAAAAAAAATTGGCTTAGACTCGAGTATATATGGTATTCTCGCGGTCTCTGATCCTCAGACATGTCCAATTCAGTCTCCCCTGATTGGCTGGAGTGTGCCGCCTGTTTCCAGGCATTTTTTACTGCAACGTCATTTTGATGCCAGGCATCTTTCACAACTCTCGACAGAAATTGGAGTGATGGTATGCGTTTCGCCACAACGAATGCTGCATAGACTCCTATCGTGCGTAGTCCTATCGTGCAAGACTCCTATCGTGCAAGTCGTGCATAGACACCTTTCATGTTAGCGTTTGAATTAGGCTTAACGTGGTCGCCCGCCTGACGCCCCTGAAAGGTCTGTACGCATTCCCTGCGTCGCTCTTCAAACGTCTCAACACATTCATACGCATGGTCAGGCTTGTCAAGTTTGCTTAAGACTCCTGTTACTCTACATTTCATCATCTTAGTTTCCTTTTACGCTGGGAGTGTGCTGGCAGGTTCGGTGCGCCGACGTGGTCAAGTGTGCCGTGACGTCATGAATCACCATATTTTTTTTTGCTTAACTGAAAGCGCTCCAGTGAATCGGACATGTCCAAGGATCGGACACTGCGAGAATACCTTCCCAGTACGACTTGCTGCAGAACTTCAGGCTGTGTTTTCTTTAATTCGTTGCCGAGCACAGGGTTCACGCTAAGGGCGAGATACTTTCATTACTGTTGTGATACAGTTCCTGAAGTTGGATGTATGCCCATTAATAAAATTAGTTAGTATGTGTTTGTTAATTGCCTGTCATCAGTTTATGATTTGCCCGGCAAGTATATATCTGCTTCTAGGTAATTCAGTTAATGAGACAGTCACTACATTCATCTTGAGTATGTTGTTTCAGTTGTTATAGACAAGCCAGTAGTTAATGCGCCAGGGTCTAGTTTTGTAGAGTAACAGTCCAGGTACAGATATAGAAGCACAGTAGGCAGTGTGAAGGATATTATGGTGTAGTGAGGTTAGGCAAAGGCTGAGATCGCTGGGTCTTTGTGTTCCACTCTGGGTGTTTTTGCCACTGATGTGGCTTTGCAATATTTTCGTTCTTACAGATCCCAATACCACCTCAGCTTCAGGAAGACTTTGTGGTTGTTGAGGCGTCTGACTGTGAACCCAAGGATGAGAACATTGAGCAGATGTACCAGACACTTGAGCAAGAGCTCGTGGCACAGCATGAGGTAAATTAGGGAATTCAGTTGTTCCTTTGTTTCAAGTTGCTAGAGTCAGCCGTAGGTTTGTGTGCCGTGCATTATTTAATTCAAGGCAAAGACTATTTGGTTGTGTTAGTCGAGTGTTGAGCACAGTTCTGTTAATGCGTTGGGTATGCTTCTGTTAGTGAGGGGTCAGGTAAGCTAATGTTGCATTTGCATGTCTTAGAAATTCTATGCAACGCTCTTACGTACAAATCAGGTTGAAGATGCCACAGGATGCTTGTAGAAAGCACGCTTGAAGTTCAATTTCCCTTGTTGTAGTCAAAACTGGATGTTTTGTGTTCAACCAGCCTAGCGTAAGTACAAATAAATCTTTGAACTATATTTCAGATGTGCGTTCAGAACAAAGACCATTTCTTCAAGTTGGGAGACGTAGCCTCTGGAACCAAGTGAGCAATGCTGTTGCTTTCATTGTCCACCTCAGATTGCCTAAATGTGCCTGTTTTACCTGTTCTGTTGCATGTTCAGTCTGAAACTGGTAGCATTCTACGTACCGTATACACTCTACTAAGGGTCCTGCTCGTGGGAGGGCCATTACCCTAACTTGGCAGTCCAAATTAAAAAAAATATATATACATATATCACCAGCAAATGGCAGTGCCTCGCTTACGGCACATTTCGCAGGAGCCACAAGATGGCAATAGCTGTCCTTCGTCACGCGACGCTATTTGTGAGCTTAGGGCATGCGGCACTATCTGGGAGATCTTGAGCACGTTCGATCCTTTTAGCCGCCGTTCATTTTGATGACTGCCTATAAAACTACTGCTGGTGATGGAAAATAAAAAAAGCCATGTCCAGCAATGTCCACGGACATTATTGTAAAGACTTTTAAAGTTATCGGTATTCCCAAAATCATGGTTGGCTCTGAGGACGATTGGATACATGAATGTGCGAATGGCCCAAGCAGTGGCGATGAGTCAAGCTTGAGCAGCGACTCCGATGAAAACAGCTATGGGAGGATGTTCATAGCTAGATGCCAGATATTCTTTGTTAGGTATGTGTGGCACTATTGAATAAGTTTTTCTATACTTGGATAAAAAATTTCACAAAAATTTAACACTTCCGTGGAAGCGCCCCACCCCATCGAAATCGCAAAAAGGGTTTGGCCCTTGCACGAGTGCTTACGATAATACCTTGATTATTGAACTAGTCGTGAACCTCTTTTATAAGAAATCATCGAAGTTGATTGCTTCACGGATTGCTACTAAATTTTTTTTGAATATGTCGAGAGTGATTGGAGTTCATAAGGTTTGTTACACACTATAAGCAGTTTTGCTCCTCTCTAGTTTTGACGAGGGTTCTTGAAGTTACAAAGGGAGGGATGACGTGGGGGAAACAAAGCTACGTCTATGAATGTCGTGACCTCGAGCGCACATCATGAAGCACAATCCTTCGGTCCCATTGTGATTCCTGTGTACTCTAGTGTTACAAACAGAGTTCTTCTATAATACTATTTGCTTAAAGCTTACTTGTGGGCTAGTTGGTAAGTCCTTATGGCGCGTGGCAGTGCACACCAGGTTACGCAACAAACGCGCACACATTGGGACAACACAGTGCTTGTGTCGTCCCTTAGTGTGTGTTCGTTGTGTAACTTGGTGTGCGCTGCCATACGCTGTGATACCACTTGCGAAACTTGGACATGCCCATGGACGAATCTGCAAAGAACTGACGCATGACATGTGTGCGCTAACAGAAAACACGCCACATAGCCAAGGTCGCTGCAGTCCTCGCTGTTGCTGTGCATGTAGCAGCTGCCAGAACTTGGAGAAGCACTTTTTTTCTAAACAGGGTGATGAGTTTTATAGACTTACTGTGATATGCAAAATGTAAGTCGCAATACTGCTCGCTTCATCATGCCAACTTGCATTGTGGGCTTGAGAACTGGAACACACAAAAATGCCATTTTCTAGCTTTTTTTCTTGCCTACAGATGGCGCCTCAACAAGCAGATCTCTCCTGTTTTGGCCAGTGGCCTGTCCAGATTTTGATACGTAGGGCTTATAAGGAGGCCCGTGCGATTGAAGAACACTGTGTGTCTACTGTGCAATTTTGATTAGAACTAACAGACAAGAATGCAAGGAAAGTACGGGGGATGTTCTAGGTAATTATAATGTCAATGAGAAAATGGTTAAGTGGACGAAAAGATAATTTGCCGCTGGCAGAGGCCAAACCTGCGAACCTTGGCACGCTATACAACATGGCAACACGCAATGCTGCATAGTGTGCCCGCAGAAGAACGTCTGATCTGAATATTACTTCTGAATTATGTCAGCCATAAGCCAATAGCAGCCATCTGCTGCTGTTTGAAGATGTGTACCTGGCGTCCCGCCCATTGAAGTAAGCGAGTTCAGGCCTCTGTATGAAGAGAAGGCACTTGAAATTGTGGCAACTTCGTGCTCTGCTTTAAGATTCTACGTGTTGTGCATGACAACAAAATTTGTCTTGAACTCTTCACAGCTATGTTTGCTGTTCATTGGTTTTCTGCCAATGGTGGCCTGTCCGGGCCCAGAGATTGTTAGCACCCTCCGCTGCGTCGCAGGTCTGACTGCCGCTAAACACATATGCAGGATAGCCGCTGGTCGTTAAGGGTAACTGACTGGATTCCTGGAGAAGGCAAATGCACAAAGGGGAGACAGAAAATTAGGTGAGCCGATGATATTAAAAATCTTGCTGGTATAACGTGGCAACAGAAAGCACAAGACCGGGTTGATTGGCGGGTCATGGGAGAGGCCTTTGCCCTGATGTGGGCGCAGTCAGGCTGATGGTGATGATGGTTTTCTGCCAGGCCCGAGAGGTGACGCCAGATTCACTGAAAGTCCTAGTGTTTTTGTGTGTGCAACTACATCGCGCTTCTGTTGGTTCTGCCCAGGTTTGAGAAGCTGGCTCAGGACACCAATAGAGATCTGCTGGTGGTGAAAAACCTCAGGCAGCGCAATGATCCACTTCCACGTTTCCACTACGAAACCAGGGTGTTCTCGATAGTTCGGTAAGGCTTGCTCGTCTTCCTAAAGTTTCATCGCAATCAGCTGAAGAGCGAAAAATAAATAAATAAATAAAACTTAGAAAATCGTTGGTGGCAATATCAACTTCGAAAATGAAAATGCGGGTCAGAGTGTAAATATAAGTAGCATTGCCAATCTAGCGAAACTTAATTTTATGGATTTCCCGATTTAATGTAATTTTCATTCCGTGGAATGTATCTGTGGGATTAAATGTTGCAATCAACAGCTAGTATGGCAGTAAAAGTGATTTAACAATGCTACCCCCCCACCCCCCTTCCAAAAAAAAAGTAAAAATTAATGGTCAGTTTTGGCCGAGAGGTGTGCGACCCACATTTGCTAGCATGGGCCCGATCCTGCTGACTACATCGAAGGCTCGCCCGAGCTCGCTCTTACGTGCCCAACTGAACAACATTATTTCATTTCTGATCATTTTCAGTGGAGAGAGCAGAGATTATCTGTGAAAATACACAATGTTTGAGCTTTTGAGGCGACGCACTCCCCTGTTGCAAGTCACATTGGGCACGACTGTACTTTATGTCAGTGAGATTTCGAATGTACCTCATTGCAGCAATGAAAAAGGGATACCAGAAAGAAAGGAGAACTTGGTTTAGATTGACAAACTGCACTCGGAGAACTCCATATGTCATATGTTTCACTCTCATAAGTTCATAAGTAGCAGAGAAAAATCAAGGTTGAAGTCTCACTTTTTAAGTTTGGCACCGAAACATCGAAAGTTCAAGATGTGTTTTTCATATTTTCACAACATTAGCTCGATAAAATTTTCTGAGACTTCGTATGCTAGGTCTATTGCACCCACAGGTGATGATATACTTCAATTTTATTGATTAGAAGCTACACAATACCCAGTAGGCTCCTTCAAAATCTGCCGCGTCACGGTGCTTTGTGCGAGACTTCAAGGTGGCGTCTCCACCTGCATTTTTCTTTTCGCACCTTTTCTCACTTGCCAAGCATCGTGTCGTGGTAGAAGTGTTGTTTTCAGGATTGTGAAATTGCACTTTACTGATATGTGAAAAATTGTTTTGCTCTTTATTGTCCTTTTAAGGGCACCCTTTTTTGGCCATTTACAGGAGCGTTATTTTGGTGAACACTGCTTGAAATATTTAAAGTAAATTAATGCTTGAACTTCTTACTTTTGAACTTGTGTCACCCTCAAATTGTATCAAAATAATGATGATAATTTCTTATTTCTAAGGATTAAGCTAACTAGTGGCCAAATGTTCAAAGTTATGTCTGATGTTTCTGTTCTTTCAGCTGCAATCACGACCTGACCGATACAGGATATTGAAGTCTCTATAGTCAGAGGAGTGAATCTGCCAGGTGAATACATTTGCCCAGTTTTTAATACACTCTGTTCACGCAGTGCATTACGGCATGCTGCTTTGCAAACGTTTTTGTCTTGACCATTTCTTCAAAGTTCCTCCTGTCAAACAGTCTGAGCATTGCCTATTCTGTAAGAGCACAGCACTAGTCATATAATGTCCTGAAAATATTTTTTGAAGTTTCGTTATGTGGCATAGAAGTCAAGAGTATGTACAACCTAGCGTCATCTGGTAGAGGCCTTAAATGTTTGGTAAAGACATGGTGTAGTATTGACAAATTTTCCCAATTCACAGTGTATTTCAGCAACAAATGCCTCCAATATTATCAATAATGTTCTTGATAGAAGTCATTTTTGCTGACTAAAGTCTCACAGCAGTGGCAGACATCATAAGTTATACATTGCCAGAATAATGTTAAGTTTTAAATGTTCATCTGATTATCCTAAATAATGACTATAATAATACATGATTGTATACACATAGCTTATGTAACATAATGATGATGTTATAGCAGCCTTCGTTAAAAATTTTGTGAGCGAAGCGTGTGGAGCGCATGTAACACAGTATTTCTTACGTTGTTGGCAACAAAACTGTGAAAGAAATTTAAAGCATTTACAGTCAATGGATATAATTTAAGCACTTAACAAAAAAGGTGCACTTAACGCGAATCAAGGGCAAATTCCACATTCCAAATTTGTCATTGAAATATGTTTTTAAAGTGCCTGTGACTACCTTTAATAGAATGGAGACTCAACGACACTCTTATTAACAATGGGGAAAAGGCAGCAGGTATCTGCAGTGCACTGACTTGCATGAAATAAGGTCTTCAGAGCATTGCCAGCATTGTGGACAATGCACCAAGTGCTTGAACGAGGCTTCACCTGCTTGCGGGACATTCGTCAAGGTGTTCTATTCTACGTGACGAGGCACAGACCCCTTGGTATATAGTGCTTAAAAGCATAAAACTATGATACTACCATCAAGCTTCCGTATTATGAAACCAGATATAATGAAATATTGTTTGTAACGAAGTAAATAAAATATAGTGTTGCAATACAGTGTTAGGAATAAACCTTTATAACAAACTTTCGGATATAACGAACTTATTTTTGTGTAAGATGCAACTTTTTCTATAATCAGCTTTGAGTGTAGTCCAGAGTGCTAATTCCAGCCATTGGAATATTTTCAAAATTTTAATGTAGGTTTATTTATTATTGACACGCAGTGTAAGACATCACTTGTGGTTAGGCAGGCCATTGAAACCATTGATAGCAGCCAAGAAATGCTATGGGCGTTTAAAAAATTTGTAGGCTAATAACCTGCCCCAAGTGGTATATTACCCAGGATGAATAATGCCGAGACAGCACTTTTCCGATTACGCATTGCCTGCAGATATCTCCAGTGTTCTGAAATATCTATAAGGCAGCCGTGGAACCTCAGCACAGTTAGCTCTCTAATCATTATATTAGCTATTATAATACAAGCATTTACAAGTGCCACTGTTATGAACCTTTAGTTAGCAGAAAGTAATACTGTATAACCTAAACGTTCCTATTACTCATTCGAGGCAGTCGTTGAAATGTGGTATAACTGCATTCTTTCCTAATCTAGTTGGTGGTGGAGCGATTGAAATCGTGTTTTATGTTGCATGCTTGTAGCCAACTCCAGTGTTTATGTTTTGTTGTGTTATTGGCTGTAGGGGCTCTGCATGGTGGCTCTGCACGCATTTGTTCTACGTTTAACCCCCGTATTCAGGAAGGCTCCTTGACATGAAGTTGACTTGCCACCGTGTTCAATGCAGCGCAAACGCTTTTCGAACTCGCTGTGTTTAAGCAGTGCCAAGGCAGCACAGACGCATTTCTAACACATTGGCTTGAGGTGGTCAGGGAGCATTTTCGAACCTTACTTTAGACACCTTGTATTGCTAATGCTTCAACTTTCGTGCTTTTTACGGTTTGCATGTTTACGCTTTTGCTATTTGCCTGGGAACATGGCTCGACACTTGCAGGCCTTGGAGCTGAGAATGCGTGCTGTGCTCTGGATCTCACGTGAACCACATAAGAGAAGTTTTTTACGTCACTGCAAGCACTGCTTACTGTTTGTACCAGGTGTAGTTGATGGTGGTATAGATTCTAGTGTAGGAGTTGGTCGGGATCACTAGAGGTCTCGTGTTGACTTCATGTTTCGTTTTTTTGAACTGTTCGTCCTGAAGTTCTTAGATATAGCCAGGCAGGTTACTAGCATATTGCCTACTTCAAAGTTGGTGTTTTATGATATACATATTGTGTTGTGATAAATTGTTACCAATACACATTTGGGCGGAATTGAAGCTTAAGTAGTTTGCTGAAAGATGTATACATATTAATTACCAGTATGTTGCCCACTTCATAATTAGTGCTTCATCTCATGATTACATAATTTGTTATGAATGTACAATTGGGGGGGGACATGACTGTTTAGTTTGCCGAAATATGTACGCTTGTTCATTACATTGTGGTGTTTGTGTACATGAACACCATTGATTCTGTGCGCTGTTGTTTGTGGCTAACTGCAATGAAGTAGTAGACTATTCTGGATAGGAAGCGTAGTTATCAGAGAGTGTAGATGCAGAGGAGCCTATGTGCAAGATTTGACGTTTCATGAAAAGCTCGCAAGAACAGCTGTTCCTGATACCAAAGCTGTGGAAGATAACATTGTCACGGCTCATTTGGAGTTACGTATGGCAAGGGAATCACTTGGAATCTGTGCAGTGACTCTGCACGACTTCTGAGGTAAAACTGCCTTTGATTGCCTGCGGTGCACTGGCAATCACTGGCAGCTTTCTTGGACCTGTGTCACAGCAACAACCAGCAGCTGAATATGCTAATTAATTGCTGTTTTAGGGCTGTTAACGCAAAAATTTCACAAGCATCAGCCTTGTTGCTTTGACAAGATTGCTTCGGCACTGTACGCTACCTGCTCACGACAAACTTTGCGAAAGTGAAATTTTGTTGCAGTTGGCCTCTAAATAATTCACTGTAAAAGGACCCTGAAATCACATGATAAATTAGTTTAGACTGATATATTTTATTCAGAAGGCAGTACTTTTGTTGATTTCACCTCCATTGGTTTATCAACTCAGGAGAAAAATTTGTCAGAAGTTTCACTTTTCAATTTCTTGCTGAAAGCTCTGATGATATCACAGATTTCGAAGTGTTGTGTCACATTGGCTCAACAATATTGCCTCACACTTCGCATTTCAAAACTCTGTTCTTCAAAACTCTGGTTCCCTCAGCACATGATATACTTCATTTTTACTGATTAGGAGTTATGTAGGCAGTTGTAGATACCGTCAAAATCTTCTATATTATGGTGACTGACACGGACCCTTTGAGGTGGTGTTTCCACCTGAATTTTCACTTTGCATGTTGTTCTTGTTTACAATGCGCCTTTTTGCTGCAAGCCAGATGTTTTTGATACCGTGACAAAGTGATTTACTAATGCAAGAATAATTCTTTTTCTCTTTGGTGGCCCTTGTGAAGGGAGCGCGGACGTGAATTTGGCTTTATGTTAACGCTAAGTTGAGAGCAGTGTTCGCCGCAGCGATTAAAGCTGCATGCCCTGAGGTGTCGTTGTGTCTTTGACAATGTATAGGCCGAAAGATCACGGTCAAGAGTGCGATGGCTTGCGGATGTGCCCGTATGTGTTTCTCACCACAAGCCTCGTCAAGTAAGCCACTCTTTTCTCCCATCTCTCTCACACGCGCACCTGCTGTGCAGGGAAGGCCGACGACTTGGACTCCTATGTGATGGTCACATTTCCTTTTCCTAACGTAAGTGCAGGCGTGCTTTCCCAGGAAAGTGTTTTTGTTGGTCTTGCGGTTTGCCTGCTCGTGCATTGATGTTGGTCTGCTCTGTCTCAATATGTAATCTCTTCCGATATACAAATCCCTTTAGATACTGTTACTTAACTTTTCTAAAATTTCACGGTGTAACGATTGTTTTATCTGTGCGTGTGTTTTGCATCTTTACACATGTACACATTTCTGTGCATGAATGAACCATGCTCGTATCTTCATTTTCAGGTATCAAGCTTCTTGTCACATTATGCTAAATCTGCAGTTTTATTTTATTGCAATAACTGCAGTGTCTCTAGGCATTCTTGCTTGTGGCGCAGTGACATTTTTCTTTCCGAATCAAAGTGTGCCCACACATTTAAAGCATACAATATTCTTATAAAGGTGGCGAGTGTTGACGGCAAGAACACAGCATATAGCGTGCATAGTTATAGTTAATATATGGGAAGTGTTGCATATGGAGTGTATATTATTATTAAAATGCATTTGTTTTACATCAAAAAGGGATTGGAACAAAAGGGATTATCATTCAATAGGACAAAAAGTGTAGTAATGCTTCTAGTTAACACATCAAATATTCTGAAAACTGTTACCTCGTATTGAGCGCTAACAGACAGGGACATGAGAGAGACAACAACGCAATGCGCTCTCTCATCTCTCTCATGTCCCTGTCTGGTAGCACTACTCAATATGTCGCTGCGTTTCGTTTACTAACACCCCCAAAAAACGGCATTGTTACCTCAACCAGGCTGCAAGTTTGGGTTAGGCTTATTGTACGATAATACTGGTAAAAGATAGTAAAAGACATGTGCATTTATTTATTTCTGCTTTGTTATTCCAAATGTCCACACAGTTAAGCAACTTAACATCTTTGAAGTTTGAGAACTAAGTTGTAGCCTTGCCTTACGGAGGCTGCGGTAGATGCTACGTTGCACAACAATCTGACGGACCAGTGCCTATTTGTAGAAAGCTGAATGGTGCATGTGTATAAGTGTCCAAACATCAGCTTATAGGAAATGTAGAAAAGTTGACGTAGCAATGTGAACATACTCTGCGACCAGTGTAAAGAAATATGAGGACTATTGAGCATCACAAACGGTAGCTATTACTCTTGAAAATACATGTAGTCTCACTTGTTTCCTGTTTGACTGAAACTTGAACTTATTTGTCTCATTGAGGCTCATTATGTTATTTGTGGGTGCATATGTGGCTGTTGTTTTGCTAAAATCTGCACGAGCATATCAAGAGCATTTGGTGCCTGAAATTTTGGAATAAATGTCATCTCTTCACAGGCTTTACCTCTGTCACCGTAATCACCGTTTTTAAATCGATTTATTCCAACTGAAGCAATATGATCTTTATACCGCTTACCGCGCTTATTGAAGTGTCACGTTTGTAGCGTGCACGAATCTACACATGTGGTCAGAATTTGCAGCACTGGAAGCAATGGGAATGAGCAAGCAGTAGCATCTGCTGTTAGTTGGGTTATAACCACTGTAGTGGTGGCACTGGGAATGGGAATATGAATGATGTGGAATTTGTTAGCGGTTCCCTGTCATTCATTGCTCACGTAAACTTTGTTACACAGAAGGTTCTGTGGGACACTGCAGCCTTGATTTATAAATAAGTCAATCAATCAGTCAATAAATAAATCAATCAATCAATTAGTAAAATGCAAGTTGTTGTTATAATTTGAAAAAAAGTTCTGGCACAAACATTTTTTCCCTCTTGCCATACTTGAAGGGTTCGATGCTATGTTTTGTAAGCTGCTTATTTGGGAGTGGAGTCAACGGCTTTGTATGTTTTCAGGATGCGCCACAGACGGCTCGAACCAGAACTGTCAAGGACACAAACAATCCAGGTGAGATACTTTTCCCCTCCCACTGCAGCATGTCGTGCGCAAAAGGCTTTTTGCAGCCTGAGATACAAATGTTCGCACTTGCTGCCATCAAGGAACGTAACTCGAGGATCGAAAGTTAAATGAAAGCCCACTCTGGTTCTCCACTATTGCTGCGTGTGAGCTGGCTTGTGAAATACTATTGCTACTGCAAGTTATACTGGTGACAGTAGTAATTTGTTTGGGCGACCCCACGTTAAGTGTGTGGTAATTATATCGCCCTTTGAAATGGCTTGTTTCCACTTCGGCAATTATTATGTACCGGTGCCTTTATTATGGAACTAGAGCAAAAGCATGATGTATTGGCATGTGACCTACAGAGGTTGTGTGCAATAATCAGAACACAAAACACAGATTAGGGTGAAATGTATTCAATTGAAAGATTTTGGATGAATAAGGGGTGGGGGTGGAGGGAGCCAAAATGCCTTCTAATTCAATACAGTTTGCTTGGATCGCTATTTTATGTTTTGCTTATTATGATATTCGCTGTCCTGAACAGACAGTCGACATCAGAAGTTGTATAGCTGTTTTTCCCATAAATTGACAGGGACAATTTTCCTCAAATTAAATTCAAGCAGCCTTCATTATTAGACATTTGCCATTTTTCATGATACATGAAATTTCGGGCAGTGCATGTTTTTTTTCTTTTTTTAGTGTTTTAGTACATCAAAACAGTGGTTTAACCTCCAGGAGGGGTCTTTTCACTATTCACTATTGTTCAACTGCCACAAGCCGCTCTCTGTCAGTTGTTATGAAATGTATTGCAGGTAATGAAATCTGCTTTCATTACAGAGTATAACGAGAACTTTAAATTCGAAGTCAACAGGAAATCGCGTAGCCTTGCCAGGGTAATGAAGCGACACCCCATCAAATGTGAAGTCTGGGCAAAAAGGTATGACTTGGAACCTCTTACTCACACAACTTTACTTATTACTACTATCAGGTGTTTCTGAAAACCCGGTAGTCTTTCTTGCTGAATTTATCAATTTTTTTTCTTTGCAGAGGCTTCTTGCGAAGTGACGCGTGTATAGGCACAGCGTCCATCAAGTTTGAAGAATTGGAAAACAAGTGTGAAATTCACGATAGTTATGATGTAAGTTATGATCTCCTCCGTACTCGTGATGTGTTATTTATTTATTTAAAATACCTTACAGGCCCTTGTTGCAGGGCATTGTTTAAGGGGGGTTACAAAGGGTGAGTGTCGCGACAAAACCGTAAGGAAACATCAAACTTTGAAAGAACTCAACAAAAAATAACGCGTTATATGTCACTCAAGATAACTATATGTTCAAGATAACTACAGTATTTATGATGCTGATTTTTGACGCAGTGTTATCAATTGGATGAAATTTGAAGCTTTACGGCCTGCTTAGGTTCACGCTATATCATAGAAAGCCCACATTCTTTGGCTGGACAAGTCAATTGATTAATGCTTGGGTATTGCCAGGGCAGTGAGCTTGTCATATTTGGCAAGGCCGGTTGAGACATTCGCAGTGACAATTTTTATTGCTTTGGCGAGTACCAACTGAATTCTTCAGTGACGTTAAATATGGTACCATAGTTCAACTTGCCAAGTACATGTGATGTTTACTGCTAGATTTTCTTAATTTGAAGGCCAGTGTGTGCCAAATAGCAACATAGGTAGCATACCTAGTTCTAGAAGCTACTTCCAGGAACGCTGCATAGGCTTCTATGAAGTCTTCATGAGTTGTAAATTCTTATTATGTGCTAGTCTGCCAAGTGTTAAAAAATATCTGTTCCGGCAATTAAGAAGTAAAGTTTGCTGAAAAATACTTTAGTTGCTCTTGCAAGGTGCGTGGACGTGTTAGTTGGTACATGAAACTTGTTCTCGGAAGTTTAAATGTTACTTTACTTGGTGCTCATATAGGTTGCACTGATGGGCATTAATGTTTGTTTATTGAGCACATTGATTTTGAGATTTCAAGTATGTTGGGCGTGTCCACTATGCCCATTTTTTTTTCTTCTAGGTCTTCGACAGCAAGCGTCCCAGTGGCGGCAAACTCGAAGTAAAAGTTCGAGTGCGCGAGCCTTTCGTCTCGAAACAGGTGGAGGAGATCAGGCATCGATGGCTCATTATCGGCAGCTAGCTTTCGCAAGCTCGCAATCTGCCTGCCAGACGGACAGCGGCAGCAAGTTATGCACCCGATAGTCACAGACGCTAGCTGAAAGTTTTGCGTAGATAGGTGGCCCCATGCCTTGCATTACGTTCTTGTACATAAATGCGCTTGCCCATTCTGCTGTTCATTTCAGCTTGCGGTAAGTGCTGCTCAATCACGAATGACGCAGCTGTCGAAAAGTGAGACTTCCCCACGTGGAGAGTCAGATGGTTCTCAGCTGCACCTTGTAGGCACTCGTAATTGGAGGGAAATTGCCATTGTAAAGGAACATTAATCTTGTTTCATTTTATAGTGTGGTCAGCAGTTACGGTATGAGAGCTTTATGAGATGCCTTGTGCGGCCTTTCTTTTTTTAATGTTGCACGCACTGCTGGTACACAATGCCTACGCTGCGATTTTTACAATGACTACGATGTTATGTAATTTAAAAATAAATAAATTTGTGGCACTCGGAAGTGGGCAGATATTGTGTTATCGACACACAGCTTTGACAATCATGTGTTAGTAAATCACACTAGATGCTCTTAAAAAACTGGTGAACTACTAGTATGTGCTTATTTAGAGTTCCTGTATCTCGCAAGTTAATGCCGTAGGCAAAAAAAATAAATTCATGTTCATTAGACATTAAGATTCAATGAAGACAGGAACTGTGAACTCGAGCAGCAGCTGTCAACTTTGATTGTAAGAGGAACGGTTGCCATCTCTGGCATGCGTGCTATCTTGCCCGCCATAAGCAGACGGCTCATGTGCTCTTCTACGTGCTGCGCTCTCAACTCTAAGAGTGTGCGAAACGGTTTCTGTGCAGGGACCATATTCTCTTACGCCAGCGTTTTGTAGACTTCTGTGAGATCAGATCAGCCTTGCTTCATACACATTATAATTCAAGAAAGGGAAAGAAGACGACCACCTGTTGGTTATCTTCTTTCCCTTTATTAACCCTTCCGCCATCTTGCCGGTTTCCGCAGAACTCATTTGCAACATTTAAATTTGTTGCTATCTCATTTATTGCTTAACCTTGGGCTGAAATCTCAAGTGTTTAGTGCCGCTACTATAGACAGAAAGGTGGTACGATCAGCAAACAGACATATGGACAGATTGTTGGTCCATATGTTGTCAAGCAGGTCAGACTACCATGTCAAGTTGCAGGAAGTCACCTTTTTGCTCTAGTGCTGACTTTTGTATTCTTTCTAAAAACCACTGCCAAGTAAACTATCTTAACTGTCTGCACAGGATGACCAGACAGACATACAAACCCGACTGATGTACAGTCATGACAGAGTGCAGACAAAACTGCGCCACTTCTACGACATTGTATTTTATTATTCCGCTCACACTTTTTGTTGCACTCGGAGCAGTCGGCTCATACATTTTCCTGCAGCAGCTGGAATGTGGGCTCTTGCGAGTCCAGCGGACCGCCACGAATATGCGGTGGTATCGCTGTGGTGTCTTGATGGCACATAGGCCGGTGAGCTGGTTGCAGATGAATGTGCCTAACAGCATGATGAGCGACATTGCCAGCATTATCGTCACCAACTCCATGGCGCTGACAGTGCAACTGGTCCTCATCCCCTCTTGGTTGGTCGTCGTCCGGCAAACCCTTGACTAGCTCGCTCCGGCTTCGCAGGCTTTGGTGCGGATTCAGCTTCCTGCATTCCGGGTGTTTCACTGTGGTCAGTCAGTCTGGTCAAGAGCATTTAAAGTGGACTGTGAGAAATTGAAATGTTCATGTTGGACATAGCACCAGAGGCCTTAAGCAATTGCGTAGCCATGTGGGCAGAGGGTTGGGGGGGAAGAGGAGTCATTAACCACCACGAAATTTTAATATTGCATTTGTTGTATATAAATGCACAAGTACGAACACACGCACAAATATGCATAAAAGATGGTGGCCATTCTTCTCCTCTTTAGTGAAAAAAAAAATGGAGTTCTGGTTGCGCCACTGTAATGAATTTTTGAATAATCAGATTCACTCATCATTAGTCCCGCCGTGGTGGTCTAGTGGCCAAGGTACTCGGCTGCTGACCGCGGGTTCGCGGGTTCGAATCCCGGCTGCGGCGGCAGCATTTCCGATGGAGGCGGAAATGTTGTAGGCCCGTGTGCTCAGATTTGGGTGCACGCTAAAGAACCCCAGGTGGTAAAAATTTCTGGAGCCCTCCACTATGGCGTCTCTCATAATCATATGGTGGTTTTGGAACGTTAAACCCCACATATCTATCAGATTCACTGATCATGGTCAGCACGCACACGAAACACCAGAAAGCACTCAACACAAGAGTTGGCTGTCAACTGAAAGCTTAATTTAAGAAAGTCGTATGTAAGCTAAAATGGAAGGCACTGAGAAATCGCCATCACCCCCACCAAGCTTCTTATCGCATAAGTTGTATGTACGAAAACTCGGCATCAGTCACAGCTTTTGATGGTTGGTTCACGCGAACATCTTTCGCTGCTATTATTTCAAATTGTCGTGCGATTTCACGCGTGTGCTTCTCCTTGTGTCTCACAACTACCGTTCACGTAACGCAAAAATCTGTGACGTCACGGTCCCCGGCTTCTGATTTTTTCTCTGTTTCGCCACCAGGATATTCTTTTTGTGCGCTTTCTCTCGGCGAGCGTGGTTTTTGGCATCGTGAAAGAGAGAAATGCGTGTAAAAAAAGAAAAAAACATTTTTTATTTAGCTTGTGTCTCTTGACACAAGCTAAATTGCATGCTTGAACAGGACGACAGGTCATCCTGTTCAAGCATGCAACCAAGGACTGCTTGTGTCGTCGGTCAAGGTGATGTCATTTGATGTTAAAGTGTCGCAAGTTGTCTCGGCGTCCGTGTTTGCTCTTCGATAAGCGACCACGCATCGCAATGACTCTAGAGTGTTGCTTATCGGCGATGCATTCAGGAGATACCTGGGTGCCATCTTAGGCTGCCAAGGGGGTGTGAGCATGCATGCGTAGCGTTGCGTAGGTTGTAGAAGGCTCGATAAAACCATGTTCTTCCTCTTAGCAGACTGGCGCTGCTAATATACAAGAGCACTAAAGTACGCCGCACTACTGTTTCTGCACAAGCATCTTTTATTAGTCATAGGTATCCTACAAGCCTTCAAGAAGGCACTGGGTAAGGAGGGAAATGCGGTTATCAAATCAGAAACATATATGACATAAAATCAGAAATAAGTATCATCTAAAAGCAGCTACTAGGTACATCATTAGACGTTTTCACCGAAGTCTCCCTGGGCACCGCTATAATCCCGTCTGGGCTGGGGCATATATAGGCGAAAAAATGGGCCGGGGGCGGGTAACGGGCCCGGTGTCCCACGCCGTGGCTAAGCCACTGATACTTAAAATACACTCGAACTCTGAGTTGTCCCAAGTGCAGTTGCCGTGTGCGACTTTTTGTTGGTCCTTTTGACAGGTTCATTCTCTGAGCGTTTCTGTTAACACACTGAAACAACTTCATATCTGAGCAGATACTGCCCGAAAAGGGCATGTTTCTGGGTTAGAGGCATGACAAGCGCTTGCTTCAATTTAACCGGAAGGGCTATCAGATAGCGCCCGCTCCTGTAGTGGATATAACGTTGCACCTGAAGAACACGGGCACAAGAATAGACAGTGTAGCGTCCGTTCTTGTGTCCGTGTAACAAAAATAGACAGTGTAACATGGCAGTACTAATGGCAAACCAACAACAGAACCACTAATAGCAAACCAACAGGCCCCTAAGCAACCTTGGTTCTACTCGAGCCATTTTCTGTTATTTTTAAACCTTGCTTGATCCGTTACATTCGAGAACCCTGGCGCACGCACTAGACTGCCTTTCTGCTCTTCCAAGTCATGCAACGTAGTTTCGTTTTCTGCGCCTCGCATACAGTGCGTCAGCGCCCATTGTTTTTTTTTTTGTTATCACCGCGTGTCAAGTACCAGGTGCGAGTGTAGCTGTATATGGATCCGGTATCAGCAATCGCGACAAGCTCTCACTACGCCTCGCAGTGTTCGCAAAACGTATGCCACCGACGCGGCTTTCTTTTCTCTCTCTCTCTCTCTCTCTCTCTCTCTCTCTCTCTCTCTCACACACACACACACACACACACACACACACACACACACACAATATATATATATATATATATATATATATATATATATATATATATATATATATATATATATAAAGGAAAATTAGTGTGTACCTAAGGGCTCGTTTTTCCGTGTATTGACACAATATTCATGAGATTAATTTTTTCACCCACTTTTCTTTCTTCTTATTTACATTCCATTTGTTCTAATAACTTCCCCTATACATTCAGTAAAATCAGGTTCTCTTCTCCATGTAGAAGAAACCACTTCTCCCCGCGCTCGGCGCCCGAGGCGCACCACCCGCGGCGGTGTAGCAAAGTGGGAGAAGAACCGTACGCCGCTATCCCAATAGCGGGTATTGGCCTGCTGGTTGCTTGACGATGAAGCAGAAGCAACGCTGAAGAAGTTCTAGATGGCTGAGAAAAACTTGTATTTACAGATTTTACAAAACAAGGGACATCAAATGTTACAAAAAAAAGAAAGAAAAAAAAACAACTTGGGAATGAACCGACTTCTGTAGGGCGACCCTACGGGGTTCGGCGGAGCCGATGGTGCCTCCACACCGCAAGCTCGGTTCAGAACAGTAAAACTCACGCTACCTGATGGGCTTGCCGGACGTAATTTAGCGAGCTCTAACTCCAACTCCATTTGCCGGCTTCGTTCCCGAGCCATCTTAAAATCATGATCTGCTTGGTCTCGTGCCGTCCAAGGGACGTCACCACTCCCATCCTCACTCAGCCCATCGCCACCCTCCATCCTGCTGAATGTGGTGCTAGCCTGTTTGCCCCGCAAAAACACTGCAGCAAGTAGCTGCGGCAGCTGGAAGCTGCAGATAGCCTGGTGTTCCCGGAAGACACCGAGGGAGTGACTGGGTCAAAGCGGTCCTCGAACGAGTTCTCGACACCCAAAAGGCGCGTCCACGACGAGGTGGGGCATCGACCAGAAGCATGCAGCAGCAAGCCGGAGCGCCGCCACGACAACAGGACAGAGCTAACGTGAGTTCCCTTTCTCATTGCTGTATTGTTGTTGCGGGGCAAACAGGCTAGCACCACATTCAGCAGGATGGAGGGTGGCGATGGGCTGAGTGAGGATGGGAGTGGTGACGTCCCTTGGACGGCACGAGACCAAGCAGATCATGATTTTAAGATGGCTCGGGAACGAAGCCGGCAAATGGAGTTGGAGTTAGAGCTCGCTAAATTACGTCCGGCAAGCCCATCAGGTAGCGTGAGTTTTACTCATTCCTTGGCATTATTGTATGTTAGATCTCATTAATATTGTGTCAAAACACGGAAAAACGAGCCCTTAGGTATACACTTTTTTTTTTCATTTACGACATACTGCAGGTCACGTGGCCTCAAGCGGAAGTGGCAAGGTACAAAACAAATGAACGTA